CGTCGTTTCAAAAGAACGCGCAAACGTCTATTTGGATAAAGATATTTAAATTTTTTTTAATTTCTGTCTATCTGTCCGTCCGTCCGTCCCTCACCAGTCTCTATCTCATGAACCGCGATAGTTAGACTGTTGAAATTTTCACAGATGACGTAATTCTATTGCCGCTATAACAACAAATACTAATTTAAATCAATTTAAGCGGGGCTCCCATACAACAGACATCATATTTTTTGCCGTTTTTATAGATAACGGCACGGAACCCTTCGTACGCGAGTCGGACTCGCACTTGGCCGTTTTTTACAACTCTGGGTACAGGGATATAGCCTTGTATTTGTTACATACATGGTTGATGTTTGTCACAAACTTGTGACAAATATAATATGTGCTTGCAATGGGTACAGAGGCGAATGCGAGTTGATTTATGTACGCACGAAATGTAAACTTATTGTTTCTAAGCACGAACTTGAACGATTTCATAGATAAGATTTATTGATTCCAATAAAGTGTATATGAAGTTTGTTAAATTTTTCTTCGAAGCGTAGCTTTAACCACTTTAATATAAAACATAGCTTTCCAAATATATGTTGTTATTTTATTAACAGTTTCCCTGTTTGTAGATAAATTATTATTACGGATACATAAGTCAATTGTCGTTAATACGACCGTTGATACCTTTTTTCGTCGGACCTCTTATTATGAAGATTGTATAAAAGTTTAGTAACTTATTTTCACCATATTTAAGAATACGTTTAAATTAAAATCAAAACATATTGATTTCTTTTCTTTACGCGAATATTATACACTAGCTGTTACCTGCGACTACGTCTGCCTAGAATAGACTGAAGGCGTAACATTCAGACAGATATATATAAAAATATGTATATAAATTATAGCCTATGTTTTATTCTGATCTATAAGCTATATTATTGTAAAGTTTCATTAAAATCCATTCAGTAGTCTTTGCGTGAAAGATTAACAAACATCCATCCATACATACAAACTTTCGCGTTTATAATATAAGTAAGTATATTAAAATAAACAATTTTACGGATTTTATCGTTTTAATTTTGATTTTTGACTCCCGACGTTTCGAAACCTTCCAGCCAGTCTGTCCATCAAAGCTGGAAAAAACGATAAAATCTATAAAATTGTTTCATTTAATATCAAAACATATGCCAATTTTATATCGCCGACTACCTTTATTCATTTAGGTTTAAAATCATTCAGGTTATGAATCATATTTTGCTTATATAACCTACACAGTATGGTATATCTTTGGTCGAAGTTTTGTCTAATTGTAGACATAGACATAAACTTTATTTTGACAAACAACAAACAGCACAAAAAAATCAAAAAATAAATTACATGAACATAACAGGTTGATAAATAAAAACATAACATCGTTTCAACAAAAAAGCAAGTTAAAAAAAGGAAAAAAATAAGTACACAAAGTTTGGAAATTTGATTAACATTTTATAGAAAACAACGTTAACGCAACATCAAAATTAAAGAGTAAATGTGTTGTTATTGTGTGAGAAAAAGAATAAAGAAAACGTGGGTTCTCGAACACAAGGACTCGTCTTAGTTTCCTTACGATGTCACGAATGGGAACCCAAATAGGATAGGAAAATAACTATTTTTATAAGACACAAATCCACGTATCACGGATTAAATTTGCGAACAAAGAGTAAAAGTAGTCTCGTGAAAACTGTTCACATGTTACTGTCCAATGGAGGTAGGCAAAGATCACCAGTCAATGCAGCCTTCTACGGTCAATATGTCATATAAAGATTTATACGGTTACTAGCGGACCCAACAGACCTTGTTCTGTACACGGGACTTAAATCTGACAACAACGTATAATTTAAAAAAGAAAACGAATTGTGAATCTAAACCATTCTCAACCTGAAGACACAAAAAATTACATTAAAATCGGCCCAGCCGTTTAGAAGGAGTTCAGTGACATACACGCGTACAGAAGAACTATATAAAGATATAGACCACTTAAATAGTTGCTCCACCCGTCAGTCGAATAATTAAAACTCATCAGTTGCTTTATTTTATTTCTGTAGTTATTATATTACTAGCTGTTCCGTGCGATTTCATTCGCGAGAAACGTTTTAGCTTCGACCCCGTAGATCGTAGCGTGATATTCAATACTCAATAGCCTTCCTCAAGAATTGGGCTATCCAATCCAAACGATTATTTCAAATCCTACTGGTAGTTCCACAAATCGCTTCAACAAACAAACTGTTCAGCTTTATACACTAGCGACCCGCCCCTGCTTCGCACAGGTGTAATGTATTATACATATAAACCTTCCTCTTGAATCACTCTATCTAGCAAAAAAAAAAACCGCATCAAGATCCGTTGCGTAGTTTTAAAGATCTAAGCATTCATAGGGACAGACAGACAGCGGGACAACTTTGTTTTATACTGTGTAGTGTAATCAACCAGTCTTTTTACTCGGGACTTTTGAAATATGCTTTATTGTACACCAGACATAAATTACAAAAGTAACAAAAATTACATAAAGCTACAATGGGTGGTCTTATCGCTCCGAAGCGACTTCTTCCAGTCAATCAAGTAATAGAGTATACAATGACCAGTGAGAAGGTTTTGAGGTGGACGCTACTAAATATGATTCGAGTAGCTACTGTTATAAACACATACAATGTACATACATACACACAAATAATTAAAAATATAACTTAATTATTTATTATACTGTTGCATACTTGAAGAATATTGTAGAGTGTGAAACGCGCCATCTCGCAGATAGGCAGGGTTACATAAGGGCGCATCAATCAACCGATACCGTTGTGGCGACGCGATAAGGTCAAGTGTGCGATAGTCAGATAAACGCGATAAATTTATGGGCCACGGTGCGAAGTCATGTGTTAAACGGGTACTGGTGAAAATTCATTTTTTTTAAATACCGTTACAGAACGTTACAGGAAACGTACGTTTAACCAACCCGATATCTATATATTAAACTTTGTACCCACTTTTACGGAAATTGCGCGAACGGAGGTGTATGGAATTTCCCACAGTTATAGTTTCTATAGAGGAGTGCAGAATGCTAATATTTTTTTTTAATTATGCATAAAAAATATGTTAAATTAATATAGAAAACATTACACATGTATTTGACATACACGCCTAAATACTCTTCTTTATTGTATATTGTATTTAAGAATAGATTAATATTGTTCAAACTTAAAATTTTATTAAATTATGGTCGAATTTCGACCACTGGGCGTTCACTAGTATACATAAATGTTAATACATATTGTTGTATTTACAAGAGCAATGTCTATGGTTATGTTTATTATATATATTCTTACATTTTTAGTGTAAGAATTATAAACATAAACAATGAATCAATGATTTCGTAGCTATTAATAAAATGCGGCGAAAGTTTTGTTCGAAAGTGAAATACTTTGTTGTATGATAATCAGTAAATTAAATTCAGTAAGTTAAAAATTCAAATCAGTAAGTTAATTAAATATCAGTCAGCATTAAAAATTACAATCGACAAATTCATTGGGGCGGCTCCGAGATTGAAATGAACACTGTTTGCTCGAGTGTATTGAATTAATAGCGAACTTCCGGACACTGAGCTATCACTGCTACTAATAATATCGGATTTATTTTACAATGAATTTATTACGACCCGAATGGCGTAGTGGGTAGTGTGCCTGCCTCCTGCGCCAGAGGGTGTGGGTTAGATCCCCACTACTGGAAAAATATTGTGATATGAACGTAGTGTTCTTGTAGTGTCTGGGTGTTTATATATCTATTTATTTACAAAAAAGAAATGTATGTTTACGATTTATCTAGTACCCATAGTACAAGCGTTGCTTAGTTTTGGTTATTTATTATTTGATCTCCATCTTTCTAATCACACCAGTATGTTATACATCTTATGTTAAGAATCTATGAAAACAAATTTTATGGTCCAAACAATAAGTCATTTACCCGATTAATGAATATCGTACAGTACATTGATATAAACACAATTTATATATATATATATATATAGCGCATACTCCTCAGACACACATATATCGACTTAACGGTGGTAGGGCCACGCAGCAGCCTCGGCTGTTGCACGAATGGGCAGGCCCATCCGGGTAAGTACCACGACCTCACAGAAGACCAGCGTAAAGTGGAAGTGTGACAAATACTTTCGCGTTTCGTCTGGTGAGTGAGGTAGCCGGAGCCCAATTTTCAAAAGGTTGTCAACGCATCTGTAACCCTCGGGTGTGGCAGATGTCCATGGGCGGCGGCATTCACTTAACATCAGGTGAACCGTGTGCTCGTTTGACAACTTTTCGCATAAAATAAAATCTACCTTTGACTCGGGGAGACAATTTAATTCCATTCCACTTCAGTTGACTTCATTTATTATTTTCACTTCTTCAAGTGTAATCTATGCAAACCTATAAATTAATATGTGACACAAAAACTTTGTACCCCTTTTTACGAAAATTGAGCGGACGGAGAAGTATGAAATTTACCATATATTATAGTTTATGCAGAGAAAGAGTGCCGAATACTAATATTCTTTTGAAATTATACATAAAAATACATTAAATCAATATAGAAAACATTACACACACTATCATGTATAATTAATTGTGGTCGAATTTCGACCACTGGGCGAACACTAGTATCAATGAAAACTTTTGAGTCTTTAGTTTACTTTATTTGATAAGAGCAACTGATGGAATCAGCAATGATGAATAATTAAAGAAACTTTTGTGAAATATTTATTACTAATAAACTGCTCGATGCCTTGACTCTTGCCTTATGATTTGTTTAGAACATCATCTAATCAAATTCCGGTGCATGCCATTTTCAAGTCCACTTTACAAACTTTACTTACGATTGACCTTTGCCTTATGATTCGTTTTGAACATCATCTAATCAAATTCTGGCGCATGCCATTTTAAAGTCCACTTTGCTTCCGACTCTGATTGCCGCCCGTTCCACAGCTGCGAATTCAACAAATACACGATACGGTGTATCAAGTCCGTGGCGGAGGTGGCGCCGAAGGTCGAGGACGTGGAGATGGACGTCGGCGACGACTCCAGCGGGAGAGGCACCTTCTCGGACACCGATTAGACTATTAAATTGTTTTTTTTTTTATCGAGATCGTGTTGTTATTTGCTGCCAGTAACCCTGTAATCATACTTTTTTATTAGAAAAAAAAGGGAGGGGGGGGGGGGGAGGTTATTAATTCCGTTTTGTATGTCATTTATGAACCGATGTTGACAATTCTTTTTGCATTGGGTCCGGCTCAGCTCTCTCGTGGTCCCATGTCAATTTGATTGGCATTGCAATTCATTGCACGATGAACATCTGTGATGGTAAGTAGAGATAATTAGTCTTTAATGTGAACTCGATGGTTCTGTATATAGACGGTTAACGGTAAATAATTAATTGGAAAATAATTAGAATACAACGTTAGAAATCGGGTATAATGAAATAATATATTACTATAATTAAATAATATATTAAATAAGAAAATACTTTCTGTATTGAGATTGTTTAAATGTTTGAAAAACTTTGTCACATTGTTTTATGCACTTCATATTGAAGTATTACCTTAAGTCTGCCCCTTAACCATGGATCAGGTAGTGCTCGAAATTTAGCGAATTAAAAAAAAAAACAATGAAACGTGATTTTATTCACTATTGTTACTACATTACAATAATAATCTGCTAAATCAATAAGCGATGATGAAAAAGAAAATGAATTCCTACCCATTTAATTATGTCTAGAAATTCAGGGGGATAAATATCCTAGCTCCAGATTTTTCTACGATCATTCCCCGATTCGTTCGAAAATCTAATGTCAAAAGCTAACGGGCGGCGGTTATCACTTAATATCATAGGTGATACACTTATATATTGAGATTAATAACAGGTGAAGCCAAGCTCGTTTGTAAGTACTCATATTTAAAAAAAAAAAGAATCAGCGTCGGCAGTGTGGGACCTGGGTCCTGGTTCCTCTGCTCTACTCAGCTCAGCTGATTATAACTTTTAACTAGGTACTGGTTAATGGTCCCGGGCTCATAGAATAGGGCTAAGGTATCCCCTGCCTGTCGTAAAAGGCGACTAAAAGGGACACGGATGGGCAGCAGCACGAAGTGGTCTCGTGTTGCTGCAAGAGGGCGAGGGGATCGGAGAAGGTTTATCCTTCTCCGAGGCATGCTCAGGCGTAGTACCGAGGGACATCGGTGCGTTCCATGGGAGATCCCGGAGTCCCTCCAAATGTACGGAAGGCGGCCACCGAGGGGGTTTTAGTGGGTAAGACCCCACATAACCCTGTCATATAAAGTGACAGGGTATCTTTCGAAGATTTTCCCCCCCGACACCGTATATACGTCATTGTAGTCCTGCAGTCCCGCTTGGCATTATATGACATATATAAGTGAATGTGACAGATGATATAGAACGTGTGATACGGAGAAAGTAGTCTATAGAGTTGAAATCTAATTACACCAATTGTTGCAATTTGAGTGCCTCAGTTTCGGTGCGCTTGTGTCATATCCACCTCGTATTTGTACATAATATTATTGGTTTCAAGAATAAGAATCAATCGAATCTATTTCATACCAATAAAATAACGGACTGGCTGAAAAGATGCGATTTTTTTTTACATGGTTCTTAGTGAGCAGTTGATAATAATCTAATGGAAAATAAAAACAATTTACACTCAACTGGAAAGTTAAGAGAGCATTTATCAAAGTTTAACTATACTTTAACAAAGTATCTTTATAAAATCTTCATCTAGATTTTTCAGAATTATAAAGGGGCACTTTAAATCTTTCGTTGTATTGCATAAATTGGCTGGGGCCGTTGGGACTTGGTTAATGGCAGCAATTATTTATGCTGCGAATGTTTTGTCAAAAGTGAAATAGTCTGCTTTATAATTCTGGCCATTTATACCGTTTAATGACTCCGATGGCTCCGTGGCGCAGATGCCAAGGTATTGGCTTCGGCGTCGGGGATACGTGGGTTCGATTCCTACACGGGACAACTATTTGTGTGACCCACAGATAGTTGTTTCGCATCTGGGTGTTTGTCCGCGTGAAATTTATGTTTGCAAAACGTCCATTACAACACAGGATAATATTATCCTAAAGTAAGGGCAGTGTTTTTTCTCGTTAAAAAGAAAAAAAAATGCTACAGTACAGCTTATACTATATATATATATATATATACAAAAAGAAATATCGCTATATATAAAGCATATATAGCGATATTTCAAAGACGGGTCAAGACTGATGTTTCGGACGTTAACTTGTCTTAGATAGGAACAGAAGAAACAAGTTCTTCCTTAACTGTTTTCGCTATTCCGTGCTAGACGCGGAACACCAACTCTGTATATTAATACCTAATCGACATTTTATGTATCTTTCTATAATGAAATCAAACGACTTCAAAAATGATATGATAAAAAAATATGGCGGTCCGTGGTGGAGGCCATTGCACAGCAGTGGACTGTAACAGACTGAAATTGCAAAAAGGCTTGTGTCACGTTTCGAACCGTATCGATAGCCCGCAGATGATGATGATGAGATTTCTCCCAATACATAAGGCACACATGAGGACATGTGCTACTCAAAGCTGACGGCCGTATCAAGCTCGTGGGTACTGCCTTCCTCACGGATGCTTTAATAGTCTACGGAATAAAAGCAAAAACGTCAGTTGAGGTAAAGTAGAAGTTTGGTTTAATTTAGACTGAAGAAAAACTAGATCAAGAAATTATTAACGCGAAATATAAAAACGTAAGTAAAGGCCAAGGGGCTTCCACTCCCTTGTTGACCTCTAGATCTGGAGGCCCCGGGGCAACTCTAATCCGGCCCTGTAAATAGTTTTGAGAAAATAAAACACTAAAGTTGCTTAGAATTATTATTATTATTTACAAAACAAATACGTTTCAGCATTTAGTTTCTCTCGATTTTATTAAAACCAAGATTAAAATTCCTTTTATATACCTTTATTATGCCTACCATTTAAAATAAATACTACCGCATATCCATTAATTAAAAAAGTATATTTCTATACAAGTATTGTTATTATAAACGTAATTAATTTTCAAACAAAATGAAAAATATTAAGTTAAAAGGTCTACTAATAACACAGCCATATGCTAATAAAAACCAGACGCAATTGTTGCTTAAAAAAATTTTCTCTTCAAGTACAGTCGTAACGTAATTGAGAAGAATATTTTTACATTTTAAACATGGACATCAAGATTCGTTTTACAATTTCTTTCACAGATTCTTAATGTAGGTATTTTACTTACTATGAATCTCAACAACAGGGCAGATAAAAAAATGGCTAATAGTAATTTAAAAGGAGCTTAGTAACTAATGCTTGGTATTTGTCACACTGGTAATGTAATCTGAATTATCCCTGAATCACAGTAAAACAGACCATACCATAAACTAATAAAGTAATAATGACAAGTTTTACCATAATGGTAAGATTACGCACGGTAAGTTAGGTGTATAGTACGTATCACCTATATCATGAGTAAATATCCTGTACTCCTTTCTATTAATAAACGTACTGAGCTCGTGTAAACGTGCCGTAATGAGATTTCAAAATCTGTTAAGCAGTACAAATAAGAATCTAACTGTCAAGGATTGTCGGAGAACTTCAAAATTAAACTGTAATTATAAGTCACTGTTACTAACTGTTAGGTAGTTTGATTACAGATTTGTTTGTTTTGTTTGTTTGTTTACAGATTTGTTGTATAAATAAGTATCTTTGTTACATATGATATTTTTACCGGAAGAAGATATTTATTTGTTTAACAATGTCACTAGTGTCTTCCGTCTAAAAGTGTATGATGAGTGTGTCCCTTGTAAAAAAAATAATTTGAAGACTGAAAAAATGAAAACCAAGTAGGCCAACACTACTACTGCCCTATGGTACATAAATGCCAATAAAAATGAATAGGGTAGACTGTTATTTGTCTTTATTTGCGGATTGTACTCTTTTGTTTGTCAGGTTGACGGTAGCTGAAAAACCTATTGCTGTTACAACTCGTATTACTCTATCGCTAATTGCGATCAGTGCTTGTTCCCCTCCAGCGTGGCGGCGTTGGGGGGCCGCGTGACAAAGTTGACGCTGTTCTTGCGGCCGCAGGGGGGCATGGCGCCGGATCGGGCGACAGCTATGGCGCTCACCACCGCCGCCGCCAAAGCAGCCACCAGTATGGCCCACCTTACCGTCTCCACGTATCCCAGTAGAGTGTGCGAGTGTTTCAGCTCGTCCTGTATTGCTTCCGGTATTTCCGCGCTCTGCGAACGACACCGAGGAGTACATTTTTGGGGTAACGCGTACCCAAAGGGCAAACGGAACCTTATTACTAAGACTCCGCTGTCTGTCTGTTTGTCCGTCACCAGACCGTATCTCATGAGCCGTAATAGTTGGACAGTTGAAATTTTCACAGATGATGTATTTCTGTTGCCGCTATAACAACAAATACTAAAAAACAGAATAAAAATGTTTGCCGTTTTTATAGTTAATGGTATGGAACCTTTTTTGCGTGAGTCCGACTCGCTTTTGGCTCGCAAGCCCTACTTCAGTAAACATTTTCTATTCGATCTTTTTCCCTGATTTATGTCATTATCTATATTAACAAAGTATCACTTGGCAGCAAAATCTAACTCAATGCAAAATATTTTCTGAAATCGGTTCACAAATGACGGAGTTCCGAGATAACAAACAAAAAAACATACAATCAAATTGGGAACCTCCTTTTTTGAAATCGGTTTAAAGCTCACTAGGTTCTAGTTATTCGCGTTCTCATGATGTATGTGCTTATGCGAATACTACATGCAAATAAATAAAAAATATTTTCATTCTCTCACCACTCGTTTCCACATTCGTTTTCTTTGCGAAAGTAATTAATTGGTATAAGAAGTAAGTTTTATCTGTTTACATATATGATGAGGTTTTTTGTTTGACTGGTCACGCTATAATAAAACGTAAATTATAGAGTTGATGATCTCTTTAATTTTTTTTTTCAAATATTATAATACTAGCGTACCGCCCCGGCATCGCATGGATGCAATGTATTATGCGTATAAACCTTCTTCTTGTATCACTCCATCTGGTAAAAAAACGCATCAAGATCCGATTCGTAGTTTTTAAGATCTAAGCATACATAGGGACAGACAGATAGCGGGACGACTTTGTTTTATCCTATGTAGTAATTTATAATATTAGATCAATAAAGATTGTACATAAATATTAAAAATTTTATTAAAATGAGAAAAAAAATATTTGGTATATATATTGTAGAGTACTATTATTTACTATATATATTATATACAGTATATATTATAGACTTTGTTTTATACTATGTAGTAATTTATAATATTAGATCGATAAAGATTGTGCATAAATATTAAACATTCTATCAAAATGAGAAAATAAATATTTAGTATAGATATATATTATAGAGTATTATTATAGACTTTGTTTTATACTATGTAGTAATTTATAATATTAGAAATGATAAAGATTGTACATAAATATTAAACATTCTATCAAAATGAGAAAGAAAATATTTAGTATATATAAATATAACATAAAATATTAATTGGTACTATAACAATGTACACTAACGAAACTTTTCCTTTTGTTTATATAGCGAGAATATATAAATATTTACCTCGTCGAACCATAATAGAGGGAAGATTCCTGTGCGCACATTCGCCAGTTGCGTGAGGTTCGGCATATTGCGGAGCTCTATGTTGAATTGTATCCGTTGAGCCGCCTTCATAACAACCCCTGTGACCTGCCGATAGAGTGGAATTGTTTACTCATAATTGAAGACGGGACACCATGTATAACATGGGGCCGATGTGGTTATATTATATAATGGTTAAGTTATATTTATATTAAGTAAGTTATATATATAATGGTTAAGTTTTATAATACGCTCTCATTTACTTCAAAAGTTTGACTTTGTGCGTCTACTGTTTACATAATGTGGATATTTTTGATGACACCGTGGCGCAGTTGCCAAGTTATTGGCTTCGGCGTCGGGGGTCGTGGGTTCGATTCCCACACGGGACAACTATTTGTGCGACCCACAGATAGTTGTTTCGCATCTGGGTGTTTGTCCTCGTGTAATTTATGTTTGTAAAACGTTCTTACAACACAGGATAATGTTATCCTAAAGTGAGGGCAATGTTTTAATTTAAAAAAAAAATAAAATAAAATAAAAATATTTTGGCGACCCGATTGGCGCAGTGGATAGTGAGCCTGTTTCCTATGCCAGAGGCTGTGGGTTAAATCCTAATAAAAATATTACATTTACAGAGTTATTAAATTTTCTAAAACAAACAATTTTAGAACATCCTTACCTATAAAACTGTAAAGTAAAGTTCATTTGTAAAGGTCACAAAGCATATGAATGTGTTGAGTGAATTTAAAAGAGATAAAACATACTGTTAGAAGGAGAGGCTTGTAATGCGAAGCTGTGGCGACGAATGAAAAAGTCTCTGAATGTATGAATCAGTCAGTTGTAGTTGTATAGGATGTTACAAATGTTGTTTCTTTTTTAATTAATTAGTTTGTTTGATGAATTTTTTTTTTAATTATGGATTTTTTTTAAAGTTAATATTTTTTATGATTATTGGCAAGTAGCGTTAGAAGTGTGTTCCTTTATTGTCGCGATTGTAACGACACGCTGTATATCTGTAATATTCACTGTACATCTTGGGTAAACATACTATTCATAAAAGTGTGTTTATCCAAGATGTCCTGAAATATTTATATATTTATATATCCAATTTACTGAAATATTTATATACCCATTGTATGAATAAATGCAATTATTTCTAGTGACAGACACCGAAATCACTGCGGATTTGTACACATAAATTGGAAGAAAATACAATTACTTCATAATTACAATCTGATAATCTCATATAGAATCTTTTGAGGATTCAATTTATGGGTTATGCTCTGTATGTTGTTTGTACTTTTGTATGTATGAAGGTAATAAATTCTTACAATATCGGAGTAGGGTTAAGGAGATTTAAAGGTTGTATATCGAAGTCTTTCGTTTAACCCAATTAAATGCCCACAGAAGAAATATATCTTGGATACGAAACATTTTTGTAGCTTCCGTAATTACTTATTCCTTTTAGGAAACCATCGACAGTGGTGGCGCGTGGTAACAATATTATATTTAATAACAATAATGAAGTTTTCAATTGGAATTAATGGCTTTTATATCTATGTTACCAACACGATTATTAATAGCGCTGCGCTTGAATATTTCGTTCGTAATTTAGGTGCAAAATCGGGCGAATCCAAATGGGATGAACACGTTTTTCTGTTCAAACAAAGTTCGTGCAATACGTCACGAGGTGTGCTAACATATTAATTTATTGTGTCTAAATTTAACACATTCTAGCGGCGAGACGGCGTAAAGGCCATCTAATGTAAACTGTTACGGCCTCCTAACCGAATACGATCTTTTGATATATAATTGGCAATGATCCAGATGTTGTTCCATCTAAAATGGCCAAGCTTAGAGACTGCAAGATTGCTCCGTATCAATGTATTAGTTGATAAAGGATATTAAAAAACTAATTAATATATTACAAATACAGGCGCTTTTAAAGACATAAAGCGAATGGCAACAAACACACGGTATATTGGATTGGTAAACTAGTGATCCTTATAGTATACAACAGGTGTTATGCTTATAATTATGCTGAATTTGGTATTAATTTCGTTTTACTTTAGTATTCAAAGGGCAGAATTAAGTTTTGTTTCAATTAAGTTTTGATAACTAGAATTTCCAGGGAAACAGGCAACTCATTAGTGCCGCTATAATTCGAGGTTATTTTTCCGTAAACATTTTGTGAAACGCTACGGTATCGAATAATATTATCATAACTTAAAATAATCTTCTATATATATAAAAATGTATTGCTGTTCGTTAGTCTCGGTAAAACTCGAGAACGGCTGGACTGATCTGGCTAATTTGGTTTTGCAAGGCCAGGGAAGGTTTAAACCGATGAGAAGTTATGGAAAAATTGCATGGAAAATGGAAATAGCAACAATTTTATTTTCACATACAAACTGTTCCTACCTGTCAAACATTTTATGCGTGCGTTCCCAAAACTCTTTTTCTATGTGTTCGAGTTCATAAATTCCTGTGGTGGGACCACGCAACAGTGTTCACTGTTGCACGAATGCTGCCCATTCGTGCAACAGTGAACAATCCGGGTAGGTACCACAACGTCCCAGGAGACCGGCGTAAATTAGAAGTTTACCACTTTATTTAAAGGTGGCAACGCATTTCCAACCCTACGGGTGTTGCAAATGTCCATGGCCAGCGGTTATCACTTAACATCAAGTGTACCGCCAGCACGTATGCCACTTTCTCACAAAAAAATCCTTACTAATATTATAAACGCGAAAGTTTGTATGTATGCATGGATGTTTGTTACTATTTCACGCAAATACTACGGAATGGATTTTAATGAAACTTTACAATAATATAGCTTATACATCAGAATAAGACTTAGGCTATAATTTATATACATATTTTATGTATATCTGTCTTTCTGTCTGAATGTTACGCCTTCAGCCTATTCTACGCAGACGTAGTCGCGGGCAGCAGCAAGTAATTTATATGGCAAAACAACTAGTTTAAATAGGATAATTTATATTCGTATATCGGTCTTTCAACGCTAGTATTCTAAGACGCAGTAGGCAAAACAACGTTTGCCGGGTCAACTAGTGTTAAATAGGAAATAAAGGGTGGTTGAAGATTTGAAATTGCCAATTTCAAAGAGTCTTTTCTTTACGGTTAGAGCAGCTAGCCGTTATAACGTAATGCGAGAAAACTAAGTCTGTTACCGGGTCCAGGTACATGAAGGTCTTGTGCTTCTCTGGGTCCGGAGAGATGCCGTCGTAGACGTAGTCGAGGACTTCCTCGGACGCGAGGTAGAAGTGTGGCAGCGAGATGATCGCGGGCGCCCCCTGGCACGGCATCAGGTTAAGCACGCCCATCAAGAGACACCCGTCATGGTTTCCGCTCCAATTCCTAGTGGCAGTTATACAGTCAGACAAATAACGCAAGTTTTTTTTGTCACTCAAGATTTATCTCAAGCACTTACAAGCGTAGAAGAGCCGTGATAGTTCATTTTCCGGGCGGTCGTTTAATTCAATGTACTCGAGCAACCTGAGTTCGATCCCCGGTGCCGGCACCAATGAAATTGTTAATTTTAAGTGCCGACTCATCACGCGCTCAGCGGTGAAGGAAAACGTCGTGAGGAAACTAGCATATTCTCGCAATCATAACAGAAAACTATTTGGAACATATGCGAAGTCCGCCAATCCGTAGTGGGGTCGCATGGTGGACTATGACACTAATAACCTCTAAACAGAGGCATTTGCCCAGCAGTGGGACTATATAGGCTGTTACTTTACTTTTTTTTATAAGCGTCATCGTTCGTATGAAAGACAAACATCATGAAAGTAATAATTATAAAAATTACCACATAGAATATGAAAGTTTAGGGCGAGATAAGACACATCTCCTTGCTCTATTCAGCAGGATAATGGAACTATAAATACTAATGGAGATTAGGATATGAGGGTAGATAACTGAACTAATATAATATAATCTTGATACTTGGATGAATAAAATAACTAGAACTTAAACCGAGTTACATTGTCCAAAAGCGTTATGATTGACAATTGTTTTAATTTATATCCATTTTTGGCAACATTTCTGCAATAACCACATTATGTGCGAACTTATAAGCAATGGTATCCTGTTTAATTCTTAATTTATGTGTTTTCCTTGGCAAGGTTTCTAGTGCCTTTATGCTTTTGGGAACCGTGAATATACACAAGTATAATAAATAATAATGAAAACATTGCACAGTGTAATATGTATTTATATTTTTTAAATACAGCAGAAACATGTTTAGAATGCTTTAAATTTTTTGAGTGTCTATCATTTGCTCTAAAGTTAATCCTTACCGATTTTTAAACATATTGGCTGGATTTTGGTTGTGGTAGGGCCACGCAACAGTGTTCGCTGTTGCACGAATGGGCAGGTCCGTCTGGGTTAGTATCACGACCTCACCGGCGTGAAGTGAGTGTTAAACTCTTGAGTTTCGTCTGGTAAGTGAGGTAGCCGGGGCTCGCTTTATTAAAAGGTGCCAACGCATCTGCAACTCTACGGGTGTTGCAAATGTCTATGGGCGGCGGTTATTACTTAACATCAGGTGAACCGCCAGCTCGTTTGCCACTTTTTCACATGAAAAAATATGATTAGTAGTTAACTACTGCCATTGGTTAAGCAATACCAAATGCAAACTTATTAAATATGCTGTGATAACATGAATATCGAGAAATGACCTTTTTATTTTTACCGGTTCTATTCTTAAATAATATTATAAAATGTATGACAGAACGCCAACGTATGAAAAATATCTAAAATATTTACTATGAACATGCATTCGTGTATTGGCACGAATTGAAAACGATAGATCAAATTATTCAGTTGATGTCAAGGTTTCAAATATGCGAAAAGACATAATATGCCTAATGCCGTATATAGGTACGAGATATGATATAAGAGGACAAATATAAGAGTCTCGACGAGACGCGTGACTGCTCAAAAGCCATGTCATCAAAACTTACTCAATTACGATCAGGCGTGACATAAATCGTTTCATATCAAAAGCCCCTTTTTAACTATTTTATAAAGCAATTATCATTGTAGAACAAGCAATATTGCGGATTTTATCGAGTTTTATTTTGGTTTTAAATGTGCCGAAACAGTCATTCAACAACGTATATACATGGTACAGAAGCTTTAAAAAACGAAATATCTATATTTTAAAAACAAAATCAAACGCAATTCGATCGGTAAAACTGCCATAAATTTACAATGTGTAAATAAGTGAATTAATTATTTTTTTTAAAAAGCAACATAGTGATGCGCTTTATGTAGGTATACAGTTTTTAACATAGGCACTTAAATAGTGCGGAGACGAATGTTATGTACCGGAAAAATATCTGTATTAAAAGAATACTTAAGAAACCAACCCATAACCGTGGCGCCTAAGTTAATCGTTCGGCAAAATACCAACAGCGTATCTAAGTCGTTGATCTTTTAATTATAATTGTACTGGCTATAATGTCTTACCGATTATAACTCCATTGTGACTTGTATAAGAATTTATCGCAGGTTCAAGTGAGATAAGTACGGTGTGGGGATAAATTAGAAGTGTTTCGTGTAAAGAGGTCTGCAGGGATAATTAAAGAATTGTATACTCTGTTTGTGGGGGAGGCCTATGTTCAGCAGTGGACTCAAACAGGCTGAAATGATGATGATGATGATACTCTGTTGAAAATACGTAGTATTCTCTATGGTAGTATTTTTCTAATCTGCCAACGTCTTTGATTTATTCGTTGATAATGATTTGAAGCGTCTTTTTACAAATTTTCCAAGATACCTATAATAATTTTAGAAAGAAAATGAAAGAAAAGTTTCATGGACCGAAGGAAATAAAAGGAGTATTTTTTATCGTTTTTTCTCATTGGTAATTATCGAGCATAAGGGCGTATTGTACAGAGCTTCTAATACAGATCGGTACTGACGTTGAAAACGGTAGGATTTATTACATTGTTCTCTTTACCGACTATAACAAATAATTTTTATATTACTTTTTTTAATTACTTCTAAGTCATAACTAAAAACTGTTCTTGGTAATTTTTTTTGACATAAAGTCCATAGTGTTGATATATTCAACAACATTGTTCCCTTTATTGACCGAGACTTGTACAAAGTAATTTTATGTTTCTTTTCTTAATTATAGGCTTTGAGGTTATATCTCATATGGTCCACAGAGTCGTTGTTTGCAACAAAAGAAACTCTGTAACCGATTTGCAGAGTATATGTTGCAGCAATACTGCAGAATTGTGTACTTAGGACGAGTTTTTCTATCGATTAAAATATTTTTAACTATAAAGCTAACATGTTACAGACATCTAGAATTTTTCTCATGAAAATTGTATCGCTCTTAAGGAATTAAATTATTTTAATAATATCAATTAAGAGCAACTGAGAGATCAGTCGAGTAAGCTTAAGCAAAAGGCATTGGTAAGGAACAAGGCAACCCAAGGTCATAAATCAACGTTATGGTAAACATCCTTTGAACTGAATGTTTGACAGCGTTCAAATTTAATTTTCTCAAGGGTTGCGACCCCTAATAGCTGACTTGAGTTCTTGTCATTGTTGAGAAGTAAATTGGAATTTGGCGACTGGTAGGATTGTAATTTTGTACATTACGCGACTTCCCGCAAAATACGGAAGAAAAAAATAGACAAATTGGAAGATGTTGAAGTAATTGCAATAAAGTTTTTCAACATCTTGCGCATTCATTAATACCTCCAACTTTTCATGGAAGAATTAACGGTTAAGTAGGATTAAATTTGTTTATGTATCGAGTATAATAAGGCCTTTATGGTTGAATTTTACAAACTAACCAATTAATTCACATATATAAGTAAATTCATGTATGTATTTGAAAGAGTAAAGAAGTCAATTTTTTATTATCGAAAAACAAAATCAACTTCAAACTACACTTCTGCCTCAATTCGTTTAGTTTCTATCAGTGAAAACCTGTAATTGACTGGCTTGTTATTATTTTTTTTTTTTTATTACGTTATATTAGCTGTTGTTTTTCCATAAATATCGCTCTGTATTCATTTTTTAATTGATTTTCAGTAGTTCCCCAAGCATCTCCGGAGCCCAAGATCCAATACCAATGAAATTAACATGGGACCACATGCGAAGCGCCAGCTTTCAAATAAAAAAAGAATCATCAAAATCGGTCCAATCAGCAGAAAGTTCTGAGGTAACAAACATAAAACAAAAGAATACAGTCGAAGTGAGAACCTCCTTTTTTGGAGTCGGTTGAGAGTTGGATCTTACTTTCTGCAGTAGCATTTGTTTTCCGGATTGACGCTTTTCGACGCGAGCGCGGCCGAAGTCAGCTCGTAGTAGTAGGCGCTCATGTTGAAGACGGACCTCTTGTCGATGAGGCTCACGAAGAGCGATCTGGTAGCGGAACAAAAGGAATCAATGAGCAACATACTATTTAATAATTGCCAAATAGTAATATTGTTAACGTAATAAGGTAATAATTCACGTATACAACTTTAACTACAATCAGACATCAAAATATGTTTATTTCACTTATACGTATATACTGCATAACTAGAATGTTTATGTAATATTTATTCGGCGCATTAAATTACAGGAAAAAATAAGAACAAGATATTTAATGATCAGAATGGTCAATTCAATTTGTGTATATAACATAGATATTTAGGTTCCTATGATATTATCCTGTTATATGATGAAATTTAACGTTATTAGAATTAATGTTATAATTTCCAATCCATAATTTTCATTGACTATTATGAATCGACGTTAATGTTCTGCGGCTCGAAGACATTGCGGTTTTGATTTCTAATTTTCCTCCAAAGAGGAGTAGGCCGAGGGAAAAAACTTAATTAAAAACCTGGCTATCAGAATTTTAAATCTGTCTCTACGGTTAGACATTAAATTGGAATATCACCAGGCAATTAATTGTACAGTTTTATAAAATTTTCACTTAATTTTTAAATAACGTCTCTGTTTTATTGGGTTCATTTATTTATTTTGCGATGATAATTAAATAAATCACGAGATCTTTCAGCTATAGACGGAGGGAGTGAATTAAAAATATCGATGAGTGTATTTTTATGATAATAAAAAATAACCGACTTAAATTGAGAAATGAACATATTCTTATCCTTTAAACGAGCAATTCTTGTATCTATATATATAATCGGAATCTCGGAAACGGCTCCAGCGATTGTCATGAAATTTAGTATGTGCGTAGATTCGGGGGCGAAAAATCGATCTAGCTAGGTTTCATTTTTAGAAAATGTCCTTTTATCCCTGTTTTCAGGGAATGAAAAATATCATTCGAATATGACGGTAAATTTCGCCGCAAGAGAAAATGTCATAATAGCTCGGTCGGTAATCGGGCGGCCCCAAAACAGACGGCCGTGGTTCGTGTCACGATCATTTACACACTCTTTTTTTTTTTTACCTTTTTTTCGATTCCAGACCATTGCTTTCTTTATTTTTTTATTTTTTGTTGATCCAGAGGATTTTGTTATTTTTTCCCTTTTTTAAACTTGTTTCTTTTGTGATAAACACCACTTCATATTTTCTTATTATTAGGTCGGTAAGATCGAAAAATATTATGCATAATTCCATTACTCAGAAATTTGTATCTAAATGTAATTTCCAAAATACACGATTTACAAAAAAAAAAAAAAAACAAACTCCTCCAGGTACTATATGATAATAAATGTAACTTTAATAATTTTAGCAACTTTTAGGTGGAAACTTTACGTGAAATTGGTGTGTTGTGGGTAATAAAACATAAGATGAGCAAAGCACTGTGATGTAAGTGTTACGCCATTTTTATGGTCGAAACTAATAAAACTACTTACTAAGTTAACGTCATTTTTCTGGACCCGCTTTATGGTTATATTGAATTTTGCTATCATAATTTCATTCTTGTGTAAGAAGACAGTGCTTTTATGACCTGTTATTTGTGAAATGTGCTTATCTCGAATGTCTCTAGGGTTTTTCAGTTACTACGTTAAATGAGAAGCCCAGTATATACAAATATTACATAATGTTTTATTGTGTGTTCATCCGGACGAATTAATTTATATTAAAATTTCAATTTCTATTCAATTTAACCAGACATTTGGTGGCAATACCTCAGATATATTTATTTTATAGGCAATCCATTATCTTCACCTTTTATTGATTCGATTTTAATAGTCTAAAGGGCAAAACTTTAAACTTGCTATAAATTTTGAACGTTCAATGGATAATTTAATTATAACAATAATTTTCTTTGCCAAAAACAACAAAGATTGTTAGCAATTGATACTAGTCCATAATTTTAAAGACAATAAATACCACTTATCTTGGATACAAAATCTATACAGATAAATAAAATTGGAGTGTCTGTTTGTAATATTAAAATAACCGCTTTTTAATAATACATGTGGATGTATACAATACATATACAGCGTGTCGTTACCATCGCGACGATAAATGAACACACATAGAGGCGATAACTTTTTAAAGTTGTATTAAACATTTAAATTCTTTAAACATCAATATTTACAGAGTTATTAAATTTTCCAAAACAAAGTACTTTAGAACACCCTTACCTATAAAAGCGTAACGTAAAGTTCATTTGTAAAGGTCACTAAGCATATGACTGGGTTGAATGAATTTAAAAGAGACAAAACATACTGTTAGAAGGAGAGGCTTGTAATACGACGCTGTGGCGCGAGTTGTATAGGATGTTACAAATTTTGTTTCTTTTTTACTTAATTAGTTTGTTTGAAAAATATTTTTTTTTAATTATGGATTTTGTTGAACGTTAATATTTTTTTATGATTATTGGCAAGTAGCGTTAGACGTGTGTTCATTTATTGTCGCGATGGAAACGACACGCTGTAAAATGTATATAATAAGTTAAGCCCACGACTTCGTCCACGTGGAATTATATTATATATATTAATAACAATAAATACAATTTCTAAACTAAACGTAGCCTAAGTTACTCCTTATTACATCAGCTATCTGCCAGTGAAAGTATCGTCAAAATCGGTCCAGCCGTTTCAGAGATTAGCCGGTACAAACAGACAGACAGACAAAAATTGTAAAAACTGTTATTTTGGTATATCCACAAGTATTTAGTAAAAAGCGGTTATTTTAATATTACAAACAGACTCCAATTTTATTTATCTATACAGATAATTTCACGCGGACGAAGTCGCGGGCTCAGCTAGTTATAAATAAGACCAGCAGAATCACATTAGATGGCATTTGACTTTTTCAAACAGAAAATTAAATATTGAAAGATTGGAGATTTTCAGTATTGACAGTATGATTGACGTTGTTACGGATACATGATGAATTCGATTTTTAAACTTTTAATTTGTCAATTACAATTTTAATGTGAATATTATAAAATTGAGAACCATTCTTAGAACAATTTGACATTTGCGGAGTTGTGATAACTTACAACGCAAGCCATTAAAGAAGAAGACATTGTGAAGTTTGACGTAAATATGATAAATTTGTACTGCCTATCGAGGAATTTCTAAATCAGGAAGCGTTGCTGGCAGTGTTCGTTTTATTTATTTATTTATACTTAATGCACACAAAATATATACGGACGTGGACTTAATGCCATCAGCATTCGACCTTTAACCGCCCAAAGTTCGGTAGATAACGCTCATTGCAGAGAAGAATTTCCAGAGATTCTCCATTAATGCAGAGAAGTTTAAGCTTAAACGCGTATGACCCGGATCCTGGGTTCCCCTACCTGCAGATGTCCGGTTCAAAGGTGTACAGCCTCTGTGGCACGTTGCTCTCGTCGATGGGTGGGTACACGGTGGCGTCGGAGCCCTTCAGCTCGCCGCACTTCGGTTCACGCCACTCTTTCATCACGCGCATGCCCTTGTAGGAGACTATGTGGCCGAGCTCGCTCAGGTCCTGGGTACCGCGCACCATCTCGAAGGGCCCCAGCTCGCTGGAGTTGAACTGGGAAAGCGGGTGATTGTTAAAAGGTTGTTACGGTGGTAGGGCCACGCAGCAGCCTCGGCTGTTGCACGAATGGGCAGGCTCGTCCGGGTAAGTACCACCTCACAGAAGACCGGCGTAAAGTGGAAGTATAATACTTCCGCGTTTCGTCTGGTGAGTGAGGTGGCCAGAGCCCAATTTTCAAAAGGTTGTCAACGCATCTGCAAACCTTCGGGTGTAGCAGATGTCCATGGGCGGTGGTATTCACTTAACATCAGGTGGACCACCTGCTCGCTTGCCAACTGTTTACATAAAAAAAAGCGAAGGTAGTAATCAAATCAAATCGAATCATTTATTGATCGAAATAAGAAATATACATTTCATCTATCGATAGTAATTTTTTTAAATCTACCACCGTTCCTGTGCTGTTTATTTCCTTTATGATCAGATTTTGAGAAGCAAAGAGATCATATGTGTATTATGTATTATATATTTATATTTAATAGTTACGTATGTAGTATTATTAGTTTTCTTTTATATGTTTGTGCAACTACCGCAACTTCTCAGTACCAGCTTAAGGTTGACTGGTAGAAAATGCTGTCAGCATTAAGTCCGACTATGTAATGTGTTTTGTGCATGAAGTTTAAAAAAAAAAATAAATAAATAAAATATGCAGGTTTCCTCACGATGTTTTCCTTCACCGTGGAGCACGTGATAAGTCAGCACTTAAAGTTAAAGCACAGGGAACACAGGAATAAATCTACATCCCTAGCAATAATTATCAATACAATGCAGGCTAATTTTAAGATCTTATTTAATGTCAAAAAATTACCATCGATTCACTAAATCTGACCTGAAAGGAAACTGCAAGAAACTACGATCCTGTTATTTATTTCCTTTTGTAATGATACGGGTATCGTCGACATGATAAATAATTACATCAGTGACCTTTTTACGCCGTGTCAATGTGGCAAAGTCTAAATATGTTTTCAATCTATTTTCATTCATGTCAATGTGTTGACCTGTGCATTGTTTTGTTTTTTTTTACCGTATAAACGGAAACCTTGGCAACCTTTTCCTTCTTTTGTGTTCGAGTGAGTCGTTACAGTAAAATACTCGTACCATTTCCTGCCTCTAAGCTCATACGAGGAAATGAAATGTTTGCACTTAGCTAACTTTCCGCATCTTCTACAGTTTCGTGGAATATTGCAAACTCGATAAAGAACTCGAAGAACAAATCGTTACTCGATAAGACGCGATCCTAAGTCAACGGAATTGTGAGACGTTGTTTACTATACATCTGTGCGTGACGTCTCGACGGGAAATGGTCCTTTAATGTAACATTCAAAGTCAAACGGTAACATCTGAAGTATTTTGACAGAGGTAGCTCTGTCTATTGCTATCTACAGTTAACTAGACTAATTGTCCTATAACGTGACAATCATTGATCTTGGCGCCATACGCCGAGCACGAAGTATAATAAAATATTAAAGAAAAGTTTTTTTTAATAACACTTCTTATATTATCTAATTTATTAATTGTTGATAACGAAATAAATACTCATCTGTCACCGAAAGTATCTTTCAATTCGGTCAATATTAATAGAAGATTTTAATAGAATTAGAGTCTACCTACCTACCTAGAATTCTGAATATGAGAATAAAATGTACAAATTCTTAAAATTTAGACATTATTTCACGAGGATTATGGAGACTAAATTATAAAAAAAAACCTTGTTAAAAAAATTTGGTGGATCAACAAAATGTGCATTATAAGGAACATTAAAAAACAAAGTAACAGGCTCTGTTAATGTTTGATCCTTAAGTATTATCTTTTAAAAGCAGTTAATGCTTCTTAACTGGTCAACCATCCAGATATGGTGTACACTAAATCGCTATATAAAATCTCTTGAACGCATTTTCAGTAAGATTTTATATCAAACATCTATACATATATACAGATAAATAAAATTGGAGTGTCTGTTTGTAATATTAAATAGCTGCTTTTTACTAAATGGGTATATGGTATATACCGTGTATATATATATATATATATACCAAAATAGCATTCTATATCTAATCCGACTAATTTCTAAAATGGACCGATTTTGACGGGACTTTCACTGGCAGATAGCTGATGTGATAAGAGTAACTTTATTTTAAATTCTAGGCGGACGAATTCGCGGGCACAGCGCGCGATGGCAGCTTTAATGGTATCAATTAATGTCAATGACCTTTGTTGGTAAATAATATTTGCTATTGCAAGTTCATAACAGGTTTCATCTCACGTGCTCGGTCAATGACTCTAATACTGTGATATCGAGGTCATTGTGAGTTCTTAAAAGACTATGTATGCGCAAGCAAACGGATGTATAACTTTTATTGTATTTTACCCGGACGTCATTACCTTTTCCATATATTATTTTTCAGATTTATTTGTGGTGGGATCAAAGGGCTGTGGAACGAATGGGCAAGTCCGTCCAGGTGAGTACCACGATCTCACAGAAGATCGGCGTGAAGTAGAAGTGTTACACTTCTGCGTTTCATCTGGCGAGGAAGGTCTGGGACTCACTTGATTAAAAAGTGGCAACACATCTACAACCCTACGGGTATTGCGAATGTCAATGCGCGGCGGTTATCATTTAAAATCAGGTGAATCGCCAGTTCGTTTGTCACCTCATCATAAAAATAAAGAATCGAGATATAAAAAAGAGAATTGAGGATAATCGGTGAATGCAAATAGCAAAGTGTCACCCATTGTGGTATTCTAAGAATAAGGCCTTTGTTAAACCCTGTACGCCCTCCGGCTGATGATGATGATGAATCAACTTTAGTTTGATAGCGCAGTTGCTAAGGTATTGGCTTCAGCGCTAGGGTTGTGGGTTCGATCCACGCACGAGACATCTATTTGTGTGACACAGATAACCCAATTAAGGAATTTGTGTAAAACCTTACACCACAGATTAAGGGACAATGTTTTCGAAGGGAAGACTACAATAGGCCATTCTAGGTCGCAGTGGCCGTTGAGATTTACTACACAACGCCTTGAACACCAAATTCTAATAGTCCGTTACTTACATGGGAGAACATGGAGAAGTAGTATCCTTTGCCGTCAGGCGAAGGACGTATAGTGGAGGGTCGCTTCGCACGCAACGTACCACACACCAGACCTGCAATCAAAAGTTGTTTCATTTTTAAATGACTTCCATACTTCGTTACACAGGTAACACATGACCATTGATAATAAGTTTCAAACTAAATTTAAAAAAAAACGAGCTACGTGTTTGTTATGTTTTTTTTATGTGAGAAAGTGGCAAACGAGCCTGATGTTAAGTGCACATGCGTTGCATGTTCACGTAATATCGATTAAATGGATTTAAATGAAACTCAGAATGGAGATAGCTCAACGATAGTACCGCATAGCTCAACGATAGAAGTACCGCATAGGATGGGCCTGCATTATTACATAATAACGAAATCTGTTTTGATTTCGAAGTAACCATTGTCGCCGCTGTGGGAAAACCCACGGCAACGGCTAACGGCTAACGTCTGAGTTTAGCTCAGTGGCTAGAGCGTCAGGTCGCGAAGTGCGAAGACGTGGGTTCGATTCCCATAGCGGCGACAATCGTTTCGTACTTTTTCTACATGTTTTAATTATTAAATGTTTAGATAATTATAAATTGTAGGATACACGTCTGAGATACGAACCCACTACCTCGATCGGATGTATATAAGCAATAATCAATTAAGTAATTGAATTTTATGCTTTATATCTCATTTATTAAATTGCCACATTTCTTCACAGTAAAACTATTGGTGGTATTTGAAATTTAATAGCGTAAGTTGTAGTTGGCAAAGAAATCGTACTGAATTCTTTGCCAACTATTACAAAAGTAAAGCCAAGTAAGCCAACTAGTACAAGCGTATTTGGCACTGCGTCGTTTGACCCAAAAAACTGTAAAGCGATTTCGTATGAGAACACATAACATGTGAGTTTCATGTTACATTCGGGGAAAATGCGCCAGAATAACTGTGTATAGCCCTCTCATAAAAGCATATTACATAAACATACCTACATTAGGTACAGCTTGGATTATATTTTCCTCGAACCTTAACGCGTCCTAATTTGGTAATATTTTCAAAATTCAACTGACAAACAATTTACATAATTTGCATTACTTAAATTACGTATATTTTTTATTGGATATCAAAGACGCATGTTGCTTTTCGTAATATATTATAAATCAGGCACACGTAGTGTATATAATATTGCAAGTTATGAAGATCGTGTTATAAATTACAAATACGATAGCGGCACAAAACTTGTCTGTTTTTATTTAAAGTACAACGGATGCTGAATGTTGAATGTTCTCGGCATTAAGATCAAGAGGCGATAGCGTTCTTAAATTAAAACGTTTTGCATGTAAATGTAGATGCAAGGACGTTACATATGACATAGTTGACATTGTTTGTATAAATTGGACTTGACTTCTTGTTTTTCCCTTTGTAAAACTCATCGCCCTTGCTGTAGGATAATTTATTTGCTGTTGTAAGGGCTTTTTACAAACATAAATTTTACGAGGCACACCCAGTTTGTTCAACATAATTGTGATATTGGACAATTGTTGTCCCGTGCGGGGATCGAACCCACGACCTCCGGTTCCGAAGCTAATACCTTGGCAATTGCAGTACGAAGTTATTTATTATGATATATTTTAAAAGTAACGGTAGCAGAAAACATTTTCTGAAGGCGTTTTCTCAACAGTACTATTTTTAAGGCCTTTTCTGCCGGAACAGCTGTCGCCGGCGCTCTTACCGACCTGTTACGACCTGGGAACCTTACTCTTGGATCACTTATCATCACGTTAGCCTTCAGCTCGTTTGCCCGTTTTTTCTCTAAAAAAAGTCGCCTTTATTTCTTGTTAATAACATAACAAGAACATTTCTTCATTTTTCAAATCGGTTCATAAATGACTTAGTCCTAAGGTAACAAACATAGAAAATGCAACCGAATTGAGAACCTGGAGAAGACCGGCGTAAAGTGGAAGTATACCACTTTGGCGTTTCGTCTGGTGCGTGAGGTAGCCGGAGCCAAATTTTCAAAATGTTGTCAACGCATCTGCAACCCTCGGGTGTAGCAGATGTCCATGGGCGGTGTTATTCACTTAACATCAGGTGAACCGCCACCTCGCTTGGCAACTTTTCACATAAAAAAAAACCTTTTTTGAAGTCGGCTAAAATGTACTTGTTTGTCAGGTAATATAATGTTCCAATTCAGTTATGACTGTTCTCGATTCATCGATTCGAATAAACGCTCGCGATGCCCCTACTGTTACTCACTCAGCGCCGAGCTGTTGCCTTCGCAGCTGAGGTAGACCCCGTCGAACAGCAGGTCCTTGACCTTCACCCGCATGAAGGGGTCCCTGAGCTCGCCGAAGAAGGTTTGTAGGGCGTTGTTCACGGCGACCAGGATGGCCGGCATCATCGAGTTGACCGACAGTATGACCGCCTGTAATTTGCCGACACGAATTGTAGAAACGCTGCGGCTGTGCCAAGCTTGTCGCTTCACCGATTTAAGTTCAAGCCTCCGCCTGAAGCGGGTTAGATCACAAATACTTAACCCGTGTGGGGGCGCGGGATAAGTATTTGTAGCCTGCACTGCATATGCCCAGCAGTGGGACTTTGTAGGCTGTTAATATTACTAATCTGGCTTCTCGAAGACTGGACGTCGAAGCTGTGCTTTGTGAACATTTTCTTGCAAACTGTAAATAACTTATAAAATCAGCTTTTCACAGTTATTTCCGATTAAATTTTAATTCCATACCGTTTTGAATGCTGCATTTAGATTTACTACACGACAGAGTTCCTGCCGCAAAATATTCGAAAATAGTGTCAATTAATAGTGTGTATTATTTGTGTGAATACAAATTGGTGAACTCTCAGTGAAAAGTAATATTCCCTGGAGATGCGACTATAAGCCCATAAATTTTGCGACTGTAAGCCTTTTCGCTGTGGCACGAATGGGCAGGTCCGTCCGGGTTAGTACCACGACCTCACAGAAGATCGGCGTAAAGTATATGTGTTGCACTTCTGCGTTTCGTTTGGTGAGGTAGCCGGGGCCCACATTATAAAGAGGTGGCAACGCATCTGCAATTGTGTTGCAAATGTCCATGGGCAGGCGGTTATCACTTAATATCAGGTGAATGGCCAGCTCGTTTGCTACTTTCTAAAATAATTAAAAAAAATGTTTGAATTCTAAATTCGAGTACGGTTAATCAGCATCTAACATAATGAGTACAGTACGTCGTTTGACTGTAAATTAAAGGTGGCCTAAAAATTTGCGACCGCTTTAAGTGTTTAAATTGCCGTACTCAAATTTATCCTGAAGAACCATTTGCTCAGATACAACCTAAGTAAATTTATTCACATGAACCTGTTGAACAAATTGGATACCTAATGATTTCATGGATTTCTGGGAACAGAGTCAAAACAAACCTAATTGATTAAATTAGATACCTTTGTAAGATTACAAAACAGACACATACGTTTACAGTAATCCGTTCTGAGAAATATAAATAATAAGCATAAAGAGATACGCTGTAGGTAGGTATGTGGCGATATCTCGTATTTATTTTATTTTTATGTATAAGGAAATCAGGGAAAAAGCAACTTTGTTATTATGGGTACGCATAAGTGAAGAACAGGCCGTTATTTTGAAAACATTTTAGCAATAGCGTATTACTGTGTATATGTGTAGCTATATATACAGGGTGACTTTTCTAAAGGTGCCCTTTCTAAATTGACACAGGAGGTTCAGACTCGGTAGTACTCGTGCAGTACTCGTTTATTGAAATAAAACAAACTTTTTTTTCAAAAAAATTTCCATTGTATTCCTTAGAAAACAGAACTTGTTGACAATGCGGTAGTAATTCATAAATGCGTCGTATACTTTTGAAACGAATTTGTGTGCGTGTTAGTTATGAATGATCGCGCGTAAAATAAATGAGTTGCGTATAAATCGCGTACTTTATGAGATAAGTTCAAATGAATGTATTTAATTAATTACGAGTGATTTTAAACATTTATAATTTTTATACAGCGTGTCGTTACCACCGCGACAATAAATGAACACACATGTAGGGGATAACTTTTTAAAATGGTATTAAACATTTACATTCTTTCAACATCAATATTTACAGAGTTATTAAATTTACCAAAACAAACAATTTAAGAACACCCTTACGTATAAAACTGTAACGTAAAGTTCATTTGTAAAGGTCACAAAGCATATGAATGGGTTGAATGAATTTAAAAGAAACAAAACATACTGTTAGAAGAAGAGGCTTGTAATGCGACGCTGTGGCAACGAATGAAAAAGTCTCTGAATGTATGAATCAGTCAGTTGTAGTTGTATAGGATGTTACAAATTTTGATTCTTTTTTACTTAATTAGTTTGTTTGAAAAATATTTTTTTTAATTATGGATTTTTATTAACGTTTATATTTTTTTATGATCATTGGCAAGTAGCGTTAGACGTGTGTTCATTTATTGTCGTGGTGGTAACGACACGCTGTATAACATTATTTATGTCTAGAATTAGATTAAAACAAACGGATACACTTAGAAAAGTCTCCCTGTATATACATACATGCATTCGTTTGTTGGCACATAAATATACACATTTATGTATAGCTACATGCTAACTAGTAAGCGTGTTATAAAAGAAAATTCTATCGTTTATGTTGGAAGACATAAATTATCTTTTAGAATTTATTGTTAATTTTACGTCAAAAGTTCAAAAACACGAATCACACTAGGAAATATAATCTTTACATTTCAGGGGATTAATTATCAAATAAGTATACAAAGTTCGTATATATTTTGAATTACTATTTACGGAATTTTGGTTTACACAAATTCTCGCCATTCTGGGTATTGACATTGTAGCATGCCGTGTTAACATTGGTCAAGGCATAAAGGCAGTTGGCTAGCTGATTGCATAAGTTATTAAATTTTCCAAGCAATCGAATAAATACATTATAAATTCCCTATTTAAGCTGAAGATTTTTAATTATGTTTTTTTTTTCGGACATACGTTAATTTGACATTGACGTACAAGGTCTTGGATATAAGTTTGTTGCATAAGATATTTCCAGCAATAATATTTTAATACATTTCCATACTTTTCGCATTAAGTATGGAACGCTAGGAGCAAAAAATAAGATAAGACTGATCAAAACTAGTCGATTTATTACGTGCCATGTGGTAGATTTAAGAGAGTACAAGTAATTACTGTAAAAACTTCACCTTGGGAATAAATAATGGAAAGTGAGGCGGAAAACGTTACATATGACAAAGAGATTCCGTGACAATGTAAAAGGCTTTCGGTAAATAAATTACAGCTCTGAGAATCTAAGTAATTTATTTCATTGACAGAAGATTAACCTACGGACAGATGCGGTTTGTCACAATGTAAATGCGATATTTCTACCTACATTTATCGTCCAAAGGAGTAATTAATTATTGTTTGCTACTAAATACAACTATTTTATGAGCCTTTAATTATGAAAATAAACCTTAAGACTCTTACACTTGATGCGTTTCTACAGTTTTTGTTATTCTAGATATAAATTTTTAATAAGTATTTAAATATGTAGAAAAAGTGCAAAAAGATTGTCGCCGCTGTGAGAATTTAACCCACGTCTTCGGCATTCGCGGCCTGACGCTCTAGCCACTGAGCTAAACGGCTGATTACCACACCGACTAAAATCTTAACGCATTCCTCTACATTGTTTTCTTAGCATTTGAAGCAATGCTTGGCGCCATCTATTGTTATATCCAATCCAGCATACAAACAATTTCGAATATCGTTTTACAACGATAATTCGAACGAGAGATGTCGCCATTGCTTTTTTAGAAATTAAAATTTTTTTATAGTGCTAATCTTTGCACTAAAGATTGAACATTAAAATATGTAGAAAAAGTGCGAAAAGATTGTCGCCGCTGTGGGAGTCGAACCCACGTCTTCGGCATTCGCGGCCTGACGCTCTAGCCACTGAGCTAAACGGCTGATTGCCACACCGACGAAAATCTTAACGCATTCCTCTACATTGTTTTCTTAGCATTTGAAGCAATGCTTGGCGCCATCTATTGTTATATCCAATCCAGCATACAAACAATTTCGAATATCGTTTTAAAACGATAATTCGAACGAGAGATGTCGCCATTGCTTTTTTAGAAATTAAAATTTTTTTATAGTGCTAATCTTTGCACTAAAGATTGAACATTAAAATATGTAGAAAAAGTGCGAAAAGATTGTCGCCGCTGTGGGAGTCGAACCCACGTCTTCGGCATTCGCGGCCTGACGCTCTAGCCACTGAGCTAAACGGCTGATTGCCACACCGACGAAAATCTTAACGCATTCCTCTACATTGTTTTCTTAGCATTTGAAGCAATGCTTGGCGCCATCTATTGTTATATCCTTTCCAGCATACAAATAATAATAATAATAATATTTATTTTATATATGCAATATATATCTATGTCTTTATTTTTATTTTTATTTATAAACCCAACCAGACGAGAAAACAAATGAATATCCCCCCAATAATAATAAAATATCTTTATTCACATAGACGCTTGCGCGTTCTTATGAAACGTCAAAATTTTACAAGAAATTAACACGTTCGTAAGTTACCACCGGTTCGGAAAGCAGTTTCTGTTGAGAAGAAACCGGCAAGAAACTCAACAGTTGCTCTTTTTAAAAAAAATCAGTTTACAATATAATAGTACATGTACAATCTTTTCGCACTTTTTCTACATATTTTAATGTTCAATCTTAAGTGCAAAGATTAGCACTATAAAAAATTTAAATTTTTTAATAAGTATTTATTTTAAATAATTATTTTGCTGACAGAAAAGCCTTCAACCTGAGTTTCAAATTGAGTTTATTCTATTAAGTACATCCCATTAAAACGTGACTCAGCGATTTTTGTTCATAAGAAATCAGAAAGCGGAATACCAACGCATTCTCTACTGAAACTCGAACCTGTGGACTCTATGTAGAGCCAATACCCTCAGATTCTACTCAAACAAAATATAGTTTCTTTCTTCTTTTTATCCTTTGCACTTGCTTATAGTTTTGATATTAAAGCAAAGTGATTTGAAGTAGCAATACTATTAACACTATAAATAATCAATACTAATAACAATACAATAGTCACATTTAGTTTTAATTTATAGCGTGCTCTTTCTTGTCGACAGTAGTAAAAAAATGAGAAACTCATTTAAAACAGATATTAGCTACGCAATAAAGAATAAATTATGCTTCAGTAGCCAGAGGGCATGCAAGGGTAGGATAATAAAAAGACGACGACTTTGCTATGATGATTTTTATAAAATATAGTTTGTATTTTCCTGATTATTATGTGTCTGTATTTGCTAATGTAATAAATTGTTGTAGCACAACCATTATTGAAAGATCTGACTTCCTATAAGGGGTAAGAGAGTAAGCGCTTTTATTAATGAAATATTATATAAAAATTTTCCATAGCCGTGATTCGATAGCGCAGTAGATTCGATTCATATACTGGGTGGATGTTTGTTCCGACGAGGTTTTACGCCAGACAGGCGACCGCCCTTTAAAAAACCCCGACAATACCATTAACAACACGATTTACGTGCTGTGCCGACCCCACTTAGGTGGGATAAGAGCAATAGAAAAAAGGTTTTTTTTATGTGAAAAGGTGGCAAGCCAGCAGGTGGATCACCTGATAGAAAGTGATAACCGCCGCCCATGGACATTTGCAACACCCGTAGGTTTGCAAATACGTTGGCGCCATAAGTGGGCCCCGCCTACCTCACTCATCAGACGAAACGGAGAACTATAATACTTCTACTTCACGCTGGTCCTATGTGTGGTCGTGGTACTTCCCCGGACGGACCTGTCCGTTCGTGCTACAGCATAAAAAAGTGCCGTAAAGATTACTAAATGAAACTATGTTTACGGATTTATCGCGTTTATTTTTGGTTTTGCGCCCGTGACGGTGAACGCTGTAAAAGGTTAGACACGGCAGGATTAAAACCAAAAATAAACGCGATAAATCCGTAAGCACAGTTTCATTCAGTAATGCGGTTGTGTAATCGCGTAAATACAAGAAAATATTGTTCTATAAAGGTTCTCGTATGGGAACTCTCTATAAATTAATTGTTGTATCAACGGGTTCTCTCTTATAGGATCTATTAATACGTAATTTATTGTTGTATTTACTCACCAAGTAGGTCAAGTTGATGACTGTGACGTCATCCTGCTCCGTCAGCGCGCCTGATGCCTTGGCGTCGAATACGAACGACTTTCTCATCATGTACTTCACTGTGTCGTTCTCGCCGTAGCCGAGCACTGTCCTCTCTCGGTATTCTCTGAAAGAGAAAAAAATCTAAATTTTAGCATCCAACCATTATTTTAGTAACGAAAAACAAAACCGACTTCAAATATTTCGCTCCGAATTCGTTTTCTAATTGTTTTTCAGGAGTTCCCCAAGTCCGGAGCCCAAGATCCAAAACGAATGAAATTACCCCACCACATGGGGGGGGGGGGGACCTAGCTTTCAAACAAAAAAAAGAATGATCAAAATCAGTTAACTGAATCAAAAGTTCTGAGGTAACAATCATAAAAAATACAGTCGAATTGAGAACCTCCTCCATTTTTGAAGGCGGTTGAAAAAAGGAATCAGGAAATCTCCTTCTTTTTCCATCCAACAGATTAATCTACGAGACAAGAGTGAACTAGTACATTTTATTAACAAAAAACAAAAAAAAATCGAAAGCAAATATCTTCTTCTTCTAACTGGCATCAATCCTGGCTGTTGCCAGGGTCTGCCTTCCTACTCGAATTCCTCCATTTTGCCCGATCATCAACATCCTCAGGGGTCGGTCCGTTGGCTCTCATATCTTGCTTCACAACGTTCATTCGCTTCCTTGGGCATCCAGGAGGTCTAACTTCTGGGACAAGTATATCAAGGCATATCCTTCAGATATAGTTTTCAGACCGGTGTGCGACATGGCCATTCGCTCAGGCGCCGCTCTTGGAGCTCATCCGCTACGTCACGGATTTCAAATAGTTATGTTCCTCACTATACAGGAAGGCTTTTCTAAGTGTATCCATTTTTTTTAATTAAATTCTAGACATAAATAATGTTACATAAAAGTTAAATATTTTAAATCACTCGTAGAGTAATTAATTACATTCATTTGAACTTATCTCAAAAAAGGCGTGATTTATACGCAACTCATTTATTGTTACGCGCGATCATTCATAACTACACGCACACAAGTTCGTTTGTGTGCGTGAACAGTAAAATTTAGGTATGACTACCGCGTTGTCAACGAGTTCTGTTTTTAGGGAATAGAATGATAATTTTTTTGAAATAAAAACAGTTTGTTTTTATTTCAATAAACGATTATAGTGCCGAGTCTGAACCTCATGTGTAAATTTGGATACCTGTAAAAAATTCTCCCTGTATATTTTCTATTTGTTTCCCTCATGTATTTTCATAGTCCACGGTCCAATATTAATACAGAACTAATGGGAGTCAAAACGAATCCATTGCAAAAAGAATTTCTAAAATCGGTTCATAAATGAGTTCTGACAAAATAAATATTAAAAAAATTAAAACCGAATTTGGAATCTCATCGCTTTTGAAGTCTGTTGAGAAAATGGTTTAATTTTTTATCAAATTAAAGGCAATAAGTTTCCTTACAAGTCCCGGTGAAAGGTCTACACAACGTTTATCTAATTATCCTTCAATTACTTTTGCCTTTCCTAGTAATAAATTCACTCATTAGAAAATAATGTGACGCGTTCAGCCTCGTATAAAGCCACTGGGGCCGTCTGCGGTGTCTTAAGTACGATGACTTCTCGTTTCGGGTCCTTCAATTTTCTTTTTTAATTTTCTTTTAAATCAAAGTCTATGTAAAAAAGAAAAGAGCCATAAGAAAGCCATATTCGACAATTGGCAACGACATAAAAATATACAAAATGTTATTCTATACAGGCTGCCACAGATTAGTTTTATTTTATAATGTAGGTTTTTATGTGAATAAATTAATCATATTATATTAATTTACATATACAAAATTCTTTTGTGCGTGTGTAAATGACTTAACTCCTAAACAGCTGGACGGATTTTGATGAATTATTCGTTTGTTTGTGTTCAAGTGGATTCGAGAATGATTTAGATTTATAAATCGGTCCACACCAAATTGTTTTTTTTGAATTTTTTTTATTTATAACTTGTTGTCGGTTTTACAGGTGTGTAGACGTGTGTACACGACCAGGTCTGTAGGGATACTATACTCACGAGGACTACTATACTCGGGCGAGTTTATTATACTCAGAAGCTGTTACTATAAAGGATATCTAATATGCAAATATATTATCCTTTATAGTTACATGCTTTTGATACATGCTTCACAAAAACAGAGTTGATATTAATCACATACAAACGAATGATATTATTTTATGAATTCTTCGAACGTCTATTATGTCGCCCATTCAACACAGTTCATTGTTCTCGTTTCCAGAAGTTATTTGATGACTTTACTTGTGTCGTTGATATATTTGAACTTTTCCAGCTTGTACCAATCGCCTCATTACTAAGATTATTCAAATCATATATTGATGTATTGAGTATTCAATAACATATGAAGATGTCTATGGTACATGGAATATATTCCTCACAAGTATCTGAATTATAATGTATTAAATTCAGCAGAATTAGAAATATATAAGTTTAGATAAATTATTTGTATGCCTCTTGCTAATATAATAAATCTGAAGAGTTTGTTTGTATAAACGGGTTAATCTCTGGAACTAACAGTCTGTTCTGGTAAAATCTGCATTTGATTAATTAATTCTTGAGGAAAGTTACACGGTATTTAATATAATACTCCGATCTACGGATGAGAAGACGAGGCATTTATTGCGAATGAAATCTAACGGAACAGCTAGTTAATAATAAAATCATAATTATTATTATATCAGTGTATTTTGTATTTTTATAAAACTTAAGATTTACACTTATTTACATAGTTGACGGTGATTTTTCAAGTGTTATATTTAACGTACACTAGTTGTTATTTGTAAATTTGTTTTATTATAAATTTTATTCAAAAGACACTTGATAGAGTTGTATTATTCGAAGTTTGCTAAATTTTTAGGGTTCCATACCCCCTTAGGTATGGAACCTTAAAAATTATATGTAAAACGGGACCCTATTACTAAGACTCTGACGTCTGTTTGTCTGTCCGTCTTTCATCAGGCTGTATCTCATGAACCGTGATAGTTAAAAGGTTGAAATAATGGTTCGGAACCCTCGGTGCGGGAGTCCGACTCGCACTTGGCCGATTTTTTTCATGTGTGTGTGGATACCGCCCAACATGGTAGGGCCACGCACCAGTGTTCGCTGATGCACGAATGGGCAGGTCCGTCCGGGTTAGTAACACGACTTCACAGAATACCGGCGTGAAGTAGAAGTGTCACACTTCTGCGTTTCGTCTGGTGAGTGAGGTAGCCGGGGCCCACTTTATTAAAAGATGACAACGCATCTGCAACCATACGGCTTTTGCAAATGCCCATGGGCGGCGGTTATCAGTTATCATCAGGTGAACCGCCAGCTCGTTTGCCACTTTGTCTCATAAAAAAAGTCTACATCACCCCACCAGACGTGAGTGAGTTAACCGGTCACCCCGTTTCTCTATGAGGTCCCGGCTATTTTTTTACTACTAACTTTTACACTGTATTTAATTTTTCCTTATATATTTTATTTTGTTATTCATTGACAAACAAATGGGCGATTTTTTAAAGCGATAGTGTAGATTAAGAGTGTTTCATAATTGGTCTCCTTTGTCTGATAACTATCTATTTGAAAGGGCAGCGGCTAAAACTGCCATTAAATGCCATCGTTATAAGTCATTACATTACATTGAGTTCATGATTATGCTTCCACTTTACTGCGTACAATATATTGAATACAACAAGATTAATATTTTATTGCAAAATTTATGCGCACTCACAATGTTCGAGTTCTTTTTTTATGTGAGAACGTGGCAAGCGAGCTGGGGCCTTACCTAATGTTGAGAGATAGCCGCCACCCATTGATGTTTGCAACACCCGTGGACTTGCAAATGCGTTGCCACCTTTTGACGAAACGCAGAAGTAAGTATTGTATGTAACACTTCCACTTCACACCGGTCTCGGGTGATGTCGTGGCACTTACCCAGACGGAGCTGTACATTCGTGCAACAGTGAAAAACTGTTGCGTGGCTATACCACAGTTAAGAAAGTGGCCATGGAAGATCCATAAAAACAGTATTAACTTGATATAAGCAATACCAATAACAATTACTTATACATTTGATATAATTCAAGTGCACTTCTGGTTAAATATGTAAGAAAACGTTGGGTCACGGAACAGTGTTTGCTGTTGCACGAATGGGCAGGTCCGTCCGGGTTAGTACCACGACCTGACAGAAGACCGGTGTAAAGTAGAAGTGTTGTACTTCTGCGTTTCGTCTGATAAGTGCGGTAGCCGGGGTCCACATTATTAAGAGGTGGCAACGCATCTGCAACCCTACGGGTATTACAAATGTCCATGGGCAGGTGGATATCAGTTAACATCAGGTGAACCGCCAGCTCGTTTGCCACTTTCTCACATATAAAAAAAAATTATCTAAGGGTGTAAAACGGTAAATAAGCCAATTTATAGACCGCTTGTTTTTAACCTGAGGTTCTAACTGAGCAGGCTCAATTCTTGTTATGTTTCGGTTTGTGTCAACTTGTATACGACGTAAATAATAATTACCAAGTTTCATTGATTTGGCCTAATATTCAAACCAATGTATTTAGATCTAAAGCTCTTATAAATAAAATATTACTTTTATGCATAAATATTAGTCCTGAGCAAGGCCGTCTGTGCTTTGAATTAAGAAATACGGGTGTTTTATTAGACTCAACCTTTACGTAAGAACTTTTTCATTAATATTTTAGAATATTTAGATATCTAACATTAAGTAAACTTAGTGTTAATAAAGATAGGCAGTAAGTCGTTTTATTTTCAAAGCACGTTGTATATACAAAATTTATATGAATGGAACTTTTGAATTGCATGAATAGTTAATATTGTAATGTAGATAGATGGTCTTTGTTACATTTAGCAGGTTATGCATACATATATAGTTATGTAGTAGGCTTATAGTTGCGACTTCGTCCTTATGAATCTCTTTAAGAATTACACATCTGTTACCACCAACCAGAACACTTCAGGGAGAGAATTTTTCAAAAAACAGCCGCCTTGCGGAAATAGCCACAAACGTTGAACATACAGAGGAATATTTTATTAGCTACATGTTCATAAAATTCAGTCGTTTGTCATTCATGGAACCATACTTTATTCATTTATTTGATATTATTATAATTATTAGTAGGTATAATTTCGAATCAGGATATGAATAATAAAATATGCACATTTATTGTTTACATCTTAACATTGAAATAATTTTAAAATTTAAATAAAAGAAAATCTCAAATTAGTTATATACAAAATTCATAACATTCTTTTTTCTTACTACAAACGTATTTAAACTAAGTCGTCATTAGATTCATGTAATAATTTATATCTTTTGTAATATTTTGTAACCTTTGTATTATAATTAGTAAGTGAACAATAGATTGCGAAACATCATTAAGAGTATTGATGATTTTTTTTTCGCTTGGATCGTCCAGTGTTGGCCTTGAGGCCTTTACAGTTCCTCCGGCCGGGCGCCTAGCCTGCACCTCGATTATGAGTAACTAGCGTGCGGCCCCGGCTTCGCACGGGTGCAATGTATTATACATATAAACCTTCCTCTTGAATCACTCTACTTAGTAAAAAAAAAACCGCATCAAGATCCGTTGCGTAGTTTTAAAGATCTAAGCATACATAGGGATAGACAGACAGCGGGGCGACTTTGTTTTATACCATGTAGTGATGACTAATCTATTGTTATTGCTGGTTTAGGAGGCAGTCAAGCTCTTAGGTCGCTTTGGCGGATACTCCATGGAGTAACTAGACTTAAGGGCTTCCGAGAGCCCGCGTTACAAAAACATTCGCTTTTCGTCTGGTAAGTGAGGTAAGCGGGGCCCTCTGTTTAAAAGATTGTCAATGCATCTTCAAGCAGTCAGGTGTCCACGGTACGCGGTAATCACTGAACAGGAGGTGAACCGCCTACTTGCTGGACAACTTTTCAAATATACAAATCTTTTAAACTAAAGACGACTTGGGCGGTTTTATTTTTACTCAAAATGATTTTAATCTTTTAAAAAGGCACTCACTTGTAAACATACGGCCCGATCTCCGTCACCTTGGGCTTCTCGCCATTGTTCACATCCTCTGGATTAGAGACATTGAATAAGTAGATCTTGAATGTGAGCGGCATAGGCAGCTTCCTCCATTTCTCGAACATCACCGACGAGTTTTCGATTTGGACGTTCTGAAAATTTTTGTTATTTAGCTTCATTACATTTGATGACTTAGTGGCACAGTTGCTGAGTATTGACTTCGAGGTCGGGGGTTCGATTTTCACAAGGGACAACTATTTGTGTGACCCACAGATAATTGTTTCGCATCTGGGGTCTTTGTTCTCGTGAAGCATATGTTTGTAAAACGTATTTACAACACAGGATAATGTTATCATATACATGGAGTAATGTTTTATAAAAAAGATAAAAAATCGAAGGATGTATAAGTTATGTTTTTATAACGATTAAGCAAATATTACACAAAATAAAATTATTTCATCGTATGCGGACACGCAATACACGTGTTTCAAGTCATAACGTTCTAATTTTATCTACCGTTAGGTTTTGTTTATTTCTTTTAGTCCGATCTTACGATGGTGGAGTTTTTGCGTGGAGAAAACGACTCGGTAATTAGATGCTATTGCAAAAGCGAGATACGTACCGAAAACGCTAGAATTATTACACCTTAGGTTTAATTGGAGAAGAGCGAGTCTTTAAGAAAACAATTGGCCGTGTTACTCGTTCCTTCGTTCGGTATCTTAAAAATTCATTAGATCGCAGAGCGCGGCGAAAGACGAGTCGGCATTGAAATAACAAGTAGTAGACATAGACAAGAATAAATGGGAAATGTGTAAATTTACAATGTCAACTTACTAACGCGTCGAATTATGCACTCTGCGGAAAGGTCGACAAGTTTGAGAGTACTTTAGCAGAAGTCGAATGAAGTTATTCTCAGCCGCTTTAATTGATTGTGAATTATTGTTAAACGTTATTAGTTAAAGGTCGGGTTATAAGGCGGCGATCCGAGTTAACAATGTCTAAAATAAAATTTTACAACGACGTTTAAGTTTGTCGTGTTAACAATAAGGTTAATTAATTATTGGTAAAAAAATGAAGTTTCATATTTCTTTTCTTTTCAAATATTTAAACATATAAAGTTTGTATCAAATTTTATTTTTAATCTGTATTTTTTATTGAAACTAGTTGCATTAAATGTAAAAAGGCAACGTTTTACCGCCTTTATCGTAATGACATATTGTAGTGTTAAGACCGGTATCAACACCCGACATCTTAAACACTCGTTTTAATGTCTTGCGAAGATTTAATACAAATGAGACTCAATAGATGGTGTTGATAGAACTTATCATCGGTCGTAAAGTCGTGTAGCAATTTGGATAGAGAATTTTAAATTTTTGCGCTAAAGTTCAAAATTAAAAAAATGTGCTCTTGATTATGCAATTAAGCATTTTTTGGTTTTGATGTGAATTTAGAAGCGTGGTAAGATAGAATATATTCCTGGAGTTTTTGTAGCTCCAAACTCAATTACAGACCAGCTTGTCGATTTAGAATAATTTAATTGAATAATTAAAAACCAAAAAAAATTTGTTGAGCGCGTTTAGCGGTGGCATAAGCGATGAAATGGTATTTAATTCTTCGTTTATTGTGTTAATAATTTCGTAGTTTCGAGAAATAAGCGATGGTATCAGCATATCAGTGACTTAAATTTTGTCTCAACATTGGTTATCTTTAAGATACTTAATTCAACAACTGTTACCGTGGATTCATTGAAATGTATTGCATATCAGTTTATAGTTCATAAACCCTTTATGGAAGTAGGTCTGGGAAAGTACCACGAGCTCACAGAAGAGATGAAGTGGAAGTGTGTGTGGAACTTTACTGCTGTGTCTGGTGATTGAGGTTCCTTTTTTTTGTTTTTTTTTTTTTGGGCTGGTTTGAGCCCCTGTTGGCCTTAGGGGCCTTTACAGTTCCGACGGGCGTTTAACCTACTTTGTTATAACCGACCCATCATAAGGCAACCCATCTGCAACCTGTTGCAGGTGTCAATGGTGGGGATAATCACTTAATATCACGTGAACCGCCAGCTTGCTTGCTACCTTCTCAAACACTTAAAAAAAATGGAATTGTTTTCTCTTTGTTATTTCTATGAGTTCCTTTTTTGCATTTAAGTTGCACGACGGAACATTAATGTTACAAATGATGAGAATATGTTATGCTGTATACTACACGCATTTTAGTCCCCGCTATGGATTTCGCAAAGGGGCGAAGGCTTATCTTCCCAGTGCTTCCAACTGTGATTATTTAATTACTGAATAAAGGAATAACAATTTAGATAACATTGTAACACAGTCGGGTGTGATACATATTACGCAACGGTATAATCTTCGAGTCATAACAGTATATACTATTGTTCTTAGTTAAATTACCTTATCTATTCACTTTGCTGTAATACGGTGAGAAATGAATAAGGGTTTGAAGGGAGATATATTTAATGCATTTGATGTGTAGACAAAATATTTCGCAACTGTCAGGCGGAAAAAAAAATTGTGACCGATGATACATTTGCACTTTTAGAGTTCCTTCTTAAGTGCATTGATTAACACTAAAATTAAAAAAGTTAAATTTCGAGCAAAGTTGACATACCTTAGTTTTCAAATATCCATTTTAAAAATGTAATTGAAGAAAGCCATAGCCGGAAATGAAACATAATATTAGATAACGGCAAGCATTGCTTAAATGAATTAATTAGTTCCCTACATTAGATTGATTAATATCCACTTCTGTTTAAACTCGCTCTTAATTAACGGTGGGCAAGCAATCTTGTGAAATGAGCGGAATTTTGAATCGCTCCCATTAATGTCGTATCACAATTGTGTCTACTGGTCCTCCACTCTGCTTCACTTGCCTCATTTTCGCTCCACTCGCCTCATTTTCGCTCCATTCACCTCATTTTCGCTCCACTCGCCTTATTTTCGCTCGATTCCGAAGTTTTAACGGCCGACTATACAGCGAATAGTGCATGAGCGCATCATACATAGATCCCTATTTTAGACGGCCTACAGTTATTCAGAGATCGTTCCGTACGGTATTTTTATTTTGCTTTATCCATTTATATCTTTGTAATATGTTTTACAAGGCAAGAACCAGACCTAAGTAGTTTGTATCGCCAATGTTTAATTTTGGTGCGACATATAGTGCTTAAATATCTGGTGTTATCATTGTTAATGTTGTTTTGTTACACGTTATAGTGACAATTAACAATTGTTGTGCAACAACAATTATGTGTTTGAATTAAACTTAGTTTTTAACCTTTTAGTGTTACCCATAAGAATTTGTTTTTGTATACATAGACTAAGACGAGTCGTTGTATCAATTCAACAACGCATTACAATGCAGTATTTATACGCACCTAACTAGGATTTAATTTTATTACAGGGACACAAATATTAAATTGTACCAGAACTGTGCAATGTTTTGCTACATTAATTATAATTGTTGTGTAGGGTGGTAGGGCCACGCAACAGTGTTCTGTTGCACGAATGCGCTGGTCCGTCTAGGTACGTACCGCGACCTTACAGAAAACCGGCTTGAAGTAAAAGCGTTATTCTTCGCGTGGTGTCTGGTAAGTGAGGTAGCCGGGTCCACTTTAATAAAAGGTGTTGCACATGTCCACGGGCTTGCCAAGCTCATTTAACAACCTCACACATAAATCTCATGGGATCGGGTTGTTTGTCCACGTGAAATATATATATATGCAAACCGTCCTTACAACATAGGATAATGCTATCCGACATTAATGGCATTGTTTCCATAAAAAAATAGTTGTTAATAGCTCTGGTTGACTGAAATTAGTAAGTAAAACAACGCTGTCCAATGGTGGTGTTGAAACGTTTGGAAGTAAAAACAAATTAAACGCAAAAATAAAGTTACGTGGTTTTGTTTAATATGTGTCGTACACCCGGAAAAAAAATATTATTGGACTGCTTTCTGTGTTTTCACTACATAGTATAAAACAAAGTAGTCCCGCTGTCTGTCTGTCCCTATGTATGCTTAGATCTTTAAAACTACGCAACGGATCTTGATGCGGTTTTTTTACTAGATAGAGTGATTCAAGAGGAAGGTTTATACGTATAATATATTGCACACATGCGAAGCCGGGGCGGGTCACTAGTTAAAATATAAATTGAACATTCACACTAACATTGGACTCGCGTGAAATTCGAACAGACTACCCTCTGCGCCTTCGAATGCCAACCGCGCTGTCAAACACGAATAATTTGTAAAACCATGTGTTGCATAAATAATTATAAATTATGTGAACAGTACTTTACCGGTTTGTTTACAACGTCAACACCACCGTGAGTATACAACCTCGGCCTATTTCTAAGTCACTTTTCATTGTCATTAATGTATAGTCAATGATCCATTGGCTGTAACGCTAAGTTTTCTAAGCGCTGTCGCAGATTCATCTATATACAGTTTCGCTGTCACTTTTCATTGTCATTAATGTATAGTCAATCGCTAAGTCACTTTCGCAGATTCATTTCGTCATTTTCATTGTCATTAATGTATAGTCAATGATCCATTGGCTGTAACGCTAAGTTTTCTAAGCGCGGTCGCAGATTCATCTATATACAGTTTCGCTACGTTCCGGTTTATTATACAAAAATTACTTCCTTATAACTTTGTGAGAGTATGACACGCGTGACGAGTATTAGCTTGATAGGAAACTCACTCTAGCTGCTGTTTATTTTCAACCGTCTTCGAAAGGAGAAGGTTTTCAATTTGACTGTATTTTTTTATGTTTATAAATAACGAAATAAATACTTAATACTAGAACGACATAACTTACGGTTTGATACACCTAGTAAAGGCTCTTAAATCGTCCGTTGGTTCAGATATAGTTACAATTACTGTGACAAATAGAATGTCGTGGGAAAGCAACTACTTTGCAATAGTTATTGCAGAAATATCTATATATATTAAGTCTATCTATATATATTAATACGTGAAGCATAAACTTTGTACCCCTTTATACAAAAATTTCGCGGACGGAGGAGTATGAAGTTTCCCACGCTTATTTATTATAGGGAAGGAGTGCAGAATGCTTATATTTTTTTAAAAATTATGCATAAAAAATACATTAAATCGATAAAGAAAACATTACACACACTACCATATATTTGACACACACACGCATAATATATACTTTTTTTTACTGTGAATTGTATTTGAGAATAGATTAATGTTGTTCAAATTTACAATTCAAATTAATTATGGTCGAATTTCGACCACTCGGCGTCCACTAGTATTTATAATTCTTCAACAGCTTTGCGTAAAGTTGTTGATGACAAAAATATCGTCGGAATGCACAAGTATTGTATGAAGCTTTCGTTTATGTATGAAACAGACTTCAATACATTAATTTCCCACGATTTGTATCCTTTTCTGTATTCACGGTCACTGGCTGACCATGGCAATATTGAACGCAATAAAATCAGGTAAATGTTACTACATTTCATGTGTTGTTTTGACGAATTCACTTCGATGTATTGTATTTATTTTTTATGTATAATAGAGACAAAAAAGATTTTTCTTTTTCATCAAAAGTTGGCAAGGGAGCAGGAGAATCGCTTTACATCAGTTCACCTGATGTAAAGTGATTTACATCAGTTCACCTAATGTAAAGTGGTTGTGAATGCGTTTCAAAAGTGGGCCCCGGTTACCTTACCTCGGCGGACTTCACATATATTTGAAGAATTTTCACAGTCAAATATTATCACAGTGTTGACTGAGCAAAATATTATTAGTATTAGATATTTTGGTGCTTTCAGGAATATTAGTGAAGGAACAATAAATCAATCAATCAATCAGCCTTTTGCAGTCCACTGGATATAGACCTCTCCAAGGGTACGCCACAGTGCACGATCTTACGCTTTTCTCATACATACTACAATACTAGCTACTACCCAATTTCCAAAAAGGTTGTCAACGCATCTGCAGACCCTCGGGTGTGGCAGATGCCTATGGGCGGCGGTATTCACTTAACATCAGGTGAACCTTCTGCTCGTTTGGCAACTTTTTACATAAAAAATAAGCAAACTCTCTCAGTTCATCGGTCCACCTGGCAGGGGTCGTCCAACACTAAGCCTTCTGAGATGATAATAAACTATTAATGTTCAGATGATGAAACTAATACTCCTCAGTGCATAATCTCTAGCCAGTTCCTTTTATTATGAATTAATAAAGGTATATAATTTGAATCCAAAATTGCAGTTAAGGCGTGATAGACCAGTTACTATGACGGTAGTTACTAAGACGTGTGTATTTGTTAAAGATCACAAATGAATAAAATGTAGTATATAAATAATTTTTATCGATAAAAAAAAGTCACTCACCTTTTGCACCTGCATCTTGACGATTTTGGGGAAGCCCCAGGTGGCGAGAATTATTGCCACAATCAGGGCACACATGGATACCGAGAAAAATAACTTCGAATGTTTTCCCAACATTTTCACAAAAATGTCGACACACTTTATTAGAGTAAGCAACACAAAATTAACACTCGAAAGATTTTTGAATTTAGAATTTGTTATTTAATTTACAATTCACGAATTTTCCACACGCAAGTTTGAAAAAATTTTAATTAAATTAAACATACGGGCATGTTCCATCTATTTCGAATTTCGAACAGGTTTTGTGGCGGCTGCCGACGGAGAGGACCGTCTTCTCCGAACCACAATAAACAATTATAACGCCAACCGTCAACGATAGCTCTACACGCGTGCTGTTTTCACTGTCATTTTTTTCCCAATAAAAACAATATGGCGGCCACAGAGTACGCTTCTAACTCTTTCGCTGCAAATACTGTTCGCGAAACATGTGCTTATAAAGAAGTGTTAAGCGCTTCAACAAGGTCGTGGTAATGTATATTTAGGAAGTCGCATAAGGTAATAAAATTATTATATTTGATATTAATGTTATTCGATTGATAAGAGGAAACCATTTCCCGCGAGGGGTTATTAAAGTTAGGAATGTTTATTATTAGAATATATCTTTTATTTTTTTGTACAGTATTCATTGATGATTGAAAAATGATGAATGGTTTGTGATGATGTTTCTGTAAGCGCAGTTACTAAAGTATCGGGTGTCCGGGTGCCGGGTCTTAGGTTCCGTTTCGCAACTAGAAAGGTTTTATATACACTATATATAATTCTGGATCTCGTAGTTGTTGTATATTTACGTATTTTCCTGTATAAAACGACCTAAAATACATAATATTGACCTACAATGGAGGCGATGCTATTTATATACAATGGAATCGAAACCTGATATTGAGACGTGACACTGAAACCGATTTGTTGCAAAGACATTTGAAGGTTGCCAATTCGCAACAAAGCGGAATCGGGGATTGTTTCGCACAACTCTAAGAACAAGGGAGGCTTTTGTCCAGCAAGGGAATTATCTAAAATGTAATTATTCCATTTAATCGTATTCTAAACTAGCTGTGCCCGCAACTTCGTCCGCGTGAAATTTAAAATAAATATTTTTTTTTAAATAAAAGAAAAATAGGTCCAGCCGTTTTAGAGATTAGCCGGAACAAACAGACAGACAGACAGGCAAAAATTGTAAAAAAAATATTTTGGTATATGTACCGTGTATCCATATGCATTTAATAAAATGCGATTATATTAATATTACTAACAGACATTTTATTTATCCGTGTAGATACTAATACCAGTGGAGTTCGCCATTGAGTAAATTTCGTCAATTGTGAAATAAATAAAAAAATTAAGAACAAATTAAGAAATTACAAAATATACAGGTAATACACTCTCTGTCGACCCCCATTCATCCATTAATATATATTAGACGACGCCGAGTGGTAGAAATTTGACCAAGTTTGAACAACATTAATCTATTTTCAAATAAAATACACAATAAACGAAAGAGTATATATGCGTGTGCGTGTGAAATACATGGTAATGTGTGTAATGTTTTCTATATTGATTTAATGTACTTTTTACGCATAATTTTAAAGAAATGTTTAGAAATGTCAGGAATGCAGAATACTCCTTCCTGTATAAACTATAAGTGTGGTCTTCGTCCGCGCAATTTTCGTACAAAGGGGGCACAAAGTTTTTGCTTTATGTATTAATATATAGATTACGTTCTCTATAAAGTTAGCTTAAAATAGATTAAACACTTTTCACCTAAATCTAATATATAAAATTTACGTGTCACGGTGTTTGTAATTGAACTCCTCCGAAACGGCTAAAACAGCATTCGCCGGGGTTGAGAATCGGACAACATCTATTTTTCATCGCCCTAAATGTTAAGAGTGGTTCACCTCAAACATTTTTTTCTACCCTACCCTAATAATTTATATGGCAAAACAACGTTTGCCGGGTCAGCTAGTTAAGTTATAAAATCAGTACAAATACTTTAACTAATAATATTTAGTATTACTATAAACATTTTAAATCATTATGCCCAATAAAGATAATTCGATTTTCTGAGAACTTTTACGTAAAATACTAATTATAATATTTTAACCTAAAATGCTATTAACAAAATTGGTAGACGAGGTGTCTGAAATGATAAGTGGCTTATTCTACTGTAATTAACTATTCGGTGAAAAGGAATTAGCACGTGTGTGATAATTAGAGACATCGCTAGGCCGTTAACACTGTTGAGCTTACCTCAAAGAGAACGTCATAAATTAACAAGATTTATTACTAATTAATGTTTAGAATTAAGTTACTTGAAGATATTTTTGGTATATTTTTTGTGTTCACCTGATGTTGAGTGATAACCGCCGCCCACGGACATTTGCAACACCGATTGCAGATTTGTTGCAACCTTTTAATAATATGGGCCCCGGCTACCGCAATCACCAGACGAAACGAAGAAGTGAAACACATCTACTTTAAGCCGGTCTTCTGTGAGATCGTGGTACTAACCCTGACGGACCTCCCCATTCGTGCAACAGCAAATAATGTTGCGTGGTCCTAACACAGTTATGGTATTATTTATCATAGTCATTGTAGATAGATAGATAGCGTTAACGCTACCACCGTTTTATGCTATTAACTGATGTATAATCTAAAATCGATGACCTTAATGATTTTTGGTCTAAAAGGGGAACTAAACAAGTATAATTTTTAACAAAAAAAAACTGACTTCAATCAGAAAATTAAAAACTTTGTTGAGACCTATAACATTTAATGATGGCCCAATTACTCTGGGATGCTATCATTAGATCCGGGTTTCCTTATAATTGTACCATCCTTGGGATATCTCCTTTCCGACAAAAAAAGAATAATCAAAATCGGTTCATAAACGACGAAGTTATCCACGATGGTGGTAACTTACGAAGTGTTAATTTCTTGTAAAATTTTGACGTTTCATAAGACCGCGCAAGCGTCTACTGTGAATAAAGATATTTTATTATTATTATTATTATAGGGGGATATTCATTTGTTTCCTCGTCTGGTTGGGTTTATAAATAAAAATAAAAATATAGATATATATTGCATATATAAAATAAATATTATGGATAAAAATAAACATATATATATAAATATTTTATTATTATTATTATGGGGGGATATTCATTTGTTTTCTCGTCTGGTTGGGTTTATAAATAAAAATAAAAATAAAAATAAAGATATAGATATATATTGCATATATAAAATAAATATTTTGGATAAAAAGAAACATATATATATATATATATAAATATTTTATATAATACATATATAAATAGGACCCAACCAGACGGAAGCCCTCGGCAGGGGAGACCAAACGGCCGAGGGTTAGGGCGAAAGGGAGAGAAACCGGCGGACGATGCGGGCGGTATCGAGGAGCACCGCCTTCTGCATTTGAGCCTGGAGCGATCCGTCCCGGAGTCCCAGTCGCCTCAGATGTTTAGAGAGGCTGACTGGGATCAATCCATTCGCAGACACGACTATCGGGATAATTTCGGTCGGCACACCACCCCACATGTCGGTCACCTCGTGAGCCAGGTCCAGATACTTCGTCTTCTTATCTGTTTCGGCTTTCACGAGGTTCTCATCATATGGAATGGTAATGTCGACCAAAAATACCCGCGACTGTGCCCGGTCCATCAACACGATATCAGGTTTGTTCGCGACAATCGTCCTGTCCGTAATGATGGACCGGTCCCAATAGAGCCTGGCGCGGTCATTTTCGAGCACGGCCTCCGGAGAGTACTTATAATACGGCAGTTTCCGTTCCACGAGGCCGTATTTCAGAGCGAGCTCCTGGTGTAGGATTCTGGCTACTAGGTTGTGTCTATGCAGATACTCAGAGTTAGAAAGCATGGAACAACCGGATATAACATGCCGAAGCGACTCCCCGGGATGGCGACAAGCTCGACAGATGTCGACGGTGCCATCCTTTAGGATGTATCTCCGATAGTTGTTCGTCTTAATAACCTGATCCTGTATCGCACAGACAAAACCTTCGGTTTCCCCAAAGAGGTCACCGAAACGTAGCCAGTTAAGGGAGGCAACAGTATCTACGAAAGGCTCGTGTAGAGCCTTGTAGAACCTCCCGTGGAGCTCTTTCTCCTTCCATACGGCCTCTCGGTCGGAAACGCTCAGTACTCCCGGGTCCTGCCATTGCTCGTTGGCTAAGGATAGAGGGGTAAGTCCTTTATCACAACTAATGACGTCCGTGTAGATTGACTCATCCGATCTCGCCAGGAAGTAGTTGCGGAGGCTGCACACCTCGCGATTGTGCATGGTAAGGGCGCTCAAAAAGCCTCTCCCGCCATGCTTCCGCGGCAGGTACAGCCTCATCACTGACGATCTCGGATGATGCATTCTGTGGGACGTCATAGTTGTGCGGACTTTTCGGTCCAGGGCATTGAGCTCAGTTTGAGTCCACCTGAGTATGCCAAAGGTATACATGAGGACTGGCATGACCCAGCCGTTAAATGCGCGTGCCTTGTTCACGCCTGACAAATGGCTGTTAAACACCTTTGTCAGGCGTGCAAAAAACACATCACGAACTGACTGTTTCATGCTAGCCTCATCGATACACATGTTTTGTGACATACCCAGGTATCGGTATGTTTCAGCCTCAGAGAGGGTCCTTATGTTAACGGGCATAGATAAGTCTATGCCCGCCGTATTAGTGACCTTACCTCTTTCGACATGAAGGACCGCACACTTATCCATCCCGAGCTCCATTTTGATAGAATTGCTGAAATCACAAGTGACTTTAAGCAATTCCATCAAATGGGAGCGATTGGAGGCGAATAACTTGAGGTCATCCATGTAGAAAAGGTGGGTCACTTTTGTCCCTCCTCTCCGAAGCTGAAATCCTCCCCCCGAGCCCCCCAGTAATACGCTGAGAGGATTCAGGGCGAGGCAAAACCATATTGGACTCAAACAGTCGCCCTGGAAAATACCCCGTCGTATCCTTATCCGGTATTCCGCAGCCG